AAAATGTACTTATTAAAGTAATTCTGTTCGAAGCTGAATAAAGTAAACCACACATTTGGTCCTTTAATCCGTGGACATATTTCTATGGATCATCTACGGGGACACATTGTCCCAATGTTGATGGGGACTTGTTGAAGATATCTCAATCCATTCCCCCACATGAAACCGAAGACGTAATTTTAAGGGAGACAGATATAATTACTAGGGAGATATCTTAGCTCGAACTCTCACTACTCCGCGCACCATTAACATTTAGATCGGCGAATTGAGATGTAGGTTGTATACTTGCAGTTGTTTCTCGTAATTTATAAAGCTTATTCACTTGTTAGCTATTTGGAGCAAACCTCGTTGCATAATATTCTAGTAGTGAGACTCCAAACAGCGTGCAACTATCTTTCTCTTAACGTAGCTGCAGGCACAGAAAATACAATCCAAATTATGAGTTATATCTACTTAAATAATTTCTAATATGAGCTAGTGATCATATATACTATGTGGCTTCTTAAAAGTGTAATAAAAAAAGTGCTGAATTTTGGTATTTGTCACAACACTGAGATAGCTTCTTAATAAATCACCAACATGAAGCATTGGTTAAAACTCGGAACCAGTTTTTATAAAGTAAGGAAATATGTCACAAAAAGGAAAAGATAGTGGGGTGAGAGAGGCTCGAACTCTCGACCTCAGGATAACTCAGAAGCTATGAGACCTACGCGCTAGCCAACTGCGCCACCACCCCGCTTGATATCTTGGGCCGAAAATAATTTTAAATAGTATTAACAGAAGGTCGAAGTACTCATTTCGGGGTTACTCTTAGCATCTAAAATTTACCTTTTTTAGTGTCTTAAAATAATTATACGTATTTATTTATTTATTAACAACCACATGTTGATTTGATAGTGCTAGCTGCCCTTGGATCCAATTCATTAAACAGTTTTGTTTTGGGCCGATAACTCAATGGGCAACAAGGCTCATAAAAGATACAGCAATGCAATACAATTTGAATCGCTGATATTATAACGACAAATAAATAAATAAAATGTTTGATATTATGAGATAATTTTTTTATATATGGTATTTAAAAATAATATATACTGAAATACATTTTTTTTAAAATTATAAAAATATTGAGTTTAAAAACCATCGTCAAAGAATAAAAAGGTATTAAAAGTTCACAATGATGATTTTAAAAAAAATTAAACTCGTCAATGAAAATTTTACATATTTTTATAATTTTTCTAAAAATACCATGTTCTGGTAATTTCTTTTTTTTTTTCTCGTAAAATAAAGAGAGCGGATATTATGGCTCATTTCATTTTGTGATTGCTGTAGAAGTCTTATGTTTTTTGTATAGGCCTCTTTTTGTGTTGGGCCGCAAAGGTTATGCTTTCAAGTCGGGGAACTAAGTAGACCATTGCCTCAAGTTAAACAAAAAAATACTTTGACAAAAAAGACACAAAAAACGTATGACCAAAAAACCAAATATATTGACCAAAAAAGAAAAATAGTTGCCAATAAAAAAAATACTTAATTACATTTTTTAGTTTTTATATTTAAATTTATATACAATTTAAGTTTTTAAGTTTCAATTATTTATATTTAACTCTATATTTAACTTTTATAACTTTTTAATTGTTTCAATTAAAATTCTCACATCCAAAATTTACTCTCTCTCTCTCTCTCTCTCTCTCTTTTGGTGAGTTTAGAGCAATTTCGGCCGCTGATAAAACAAAAATAGCAATATGGGGCTCGAATGATTTTGTTAATAACAGTGATTAAGGATTTATTTTCAGTATTTAAAATTAATTAATTTTTATCAAAAGAATATTTACTATACTTTTATATTTTTAATACAAATTTTAATTACTTAAAATTAATTTTACTAATGTTAATACTTTTCTTTTTATGTATTACAAATTTATTATATAATTATTTATTTTTAAAAATTGCAATCGTGTCCTCGCAATTATTTTCTTTTTATATAGTTTGTGGTTTAGCCTTTGGTTGTTTTAGCTGTCAAATGCCATTTGTGCCTCCCTATTATTTAGTACCTTTAAATGCTTTTATTTATTTAATCTTTCTAAATATTATTAATTTTTTAATGTTAAGAATCACATAAATCATTTACAGACAAAGCAGATGAAAGACTTAGAAAAACTATATGAAAAGTATAAATTTTTAAAAAAATGAGAGCATGTTTGTTTTTCTTTTTAAAAATAGTTTTTTATTTTTTAAAAATAAAATACAATATAAATTTGTATTGTATTTTATTTTTGAAAACAAAAAATCATTTTAAAAGGGAAACAAACATACTCTAAATTAAAATCTCTTAGATAAAGAGAAAAAAAATAAGAAGACTTAAGTATAGTTCTATAATACTTTGGATACTACTTTCAATGAAAATTGTAACAACTTATTAATAATATCTAACCCGTGTAATAATTATTATACATATTGTTTATTTCATTGGTAAAGAAAATGAAAAGTACTTAAAATTTTACATCTATGTTTTATCTAATAAAATACTCAATATTCAGAGAGATCGAAAATGTATTTATCGAATGGGTTTTTAATTGCTTAATCTAAATTCCACAGCTTCATTTTAATATTTTTACCACCATAGAAAAGAGTATATCTATTCTCTCTCTTTTTTCCCTCGAAAAATAGAAAGATGGTTCTAATATGATTGAAAAAGATTTACGATGCTCCTATAAAATAAAAATTTGGTAGACCCAACGAAAATAATGATGTGTTCCTAAATGATAAAATTTATGTCTCTTTTCGTAACAACAACTCTGCTATTCTTCAAAAAAGAGGACTCAATCTTGGTCCTGCTAATCGATTGTTCATGGATAAAATATGAGGTCCAGGGTACACAATCAAATTGATTGGGTTCCTCTGCTATGTGTAATGTTAACATTTCAACCATATGGAATTTATAAAAGAACAATCTTACGACTATAATGTTTATTAGATTCTGTACCAAACCTATTTACAATAGTAAATCCTCTCTAATTTCTTCAATTGCCCTTACAATCTCAATTGTTCACTGAAAAAAGCGTTTGTTTTCAACCTTAATTGTTACTGATCCGAACAAAATTAGCAGTCTGTTATATCTATTGCTGAACCGTTGAAACTCTCATAGCAAATCTTACTAGAACGCAAACTACTAAATGTTCTTAATTAAAAATCTATTAAATCAAAATTTGACAAAAAAAAAAAAAAAAGAGTACCTAACTCACCTTTCAAATAGTAGTTCAGAAGAGAATTATCCCTTTCATATCATATTAAATTTTGATCCTAACTTCTAAAAACTTGATCAAAGGAGAATTTACCCAGATCTTATATGGAATACTCATGTGGGACATTTTAACAATCTATAAAGGTTGTATAATTATTCAACCATTAGTAAAGAAGATTCTATCTTCCCATTCTTCCACCAGCAGCTAATTAGATTGTGAAAGGTGGTTATCTTAGTTTGTGACAAAGAGCTAATGAATTTGTTTAAATCCCATTAGCCAAAGTAAAATATGGGACGAAAAATGAGGTAAATTAAAGTTGTTGGGAGTTAGAAGAGTCGATCATGTTCATGAAGGGGCCGGGGAAGAGACGAAGTCACAACCGAAAGGAAGAAACATGTTTTGAGAAGTTCATAAGGAAGGAAAAGATTATTACCAAGGGCTGGTTTTATATGGTGAAGATAGAGATAGTGGGTTAGGAACAAGTATTTTTGCAACTTTAAATGGGGTTTGATTGGTGGGTATTGGTTGATGAAAGCTAGCCAGGTTGGGAGGGGTCACATATAATGTGTGTGTGCTTCCTAAAATCCGTTGGTATAAAAGAAAGTAGATGGAAATCCAGCTCATAGTTCTTGAGCACTGATAGGACCCCATGTGGAGAGGACTGCCAGTTCACGGACTAACTTATTGTGTATTGCAGGTTTTTTTAACATAAAATTTGAGGGTCCTTATAGCTGTCTCCTCGTCCCTAACGCTGGCAACAAGTTAGATTATGACTCTTTCTGCCTCATCCTTTCTCTCTATGCATTTGTGTCAATGTGTGTGTGTGCTCATGGCTGGCTCACTACCAAAAAGTCTTGGAACACATAATCATTAAAGCCAAACTCTACAACAACATGAGAGTGCCGAACATGTATGATCCAACTATAACTGAGGGAGAATCCTCCTCGAAAAGTATTGTTAATTAAGTGCAAGGAGCATAGGGGGATTTGTGGTTCTCATTTCTCGTGGGCTTATGGACAAGATAATGGTCTACCATTATTAATAAAATATGTGGCATGTTAGCTTGATGGTTGATATTACAATTTGCTATTGTCACGAATCACGATTGACAAGGGAATGATACGATGGTGATGGATGGATACGTAACTCATAAAAGAATATAATTTTGTTTTCATCTCAGCCGCTCAATGGGTTTGCATGATCATTTCCCATCTGCCTTATCAATCAAGAACTGTTTTCCTTCCTTCTTATCGAACATAACTATAACCGTTCTTATTCGTTTCTGTTGATTTGCTAGTAGTTTATGACTAGCGGATTCAGGCTTAGGAACATGGGATCATGTGGGATATATTTTGGTCCCAACATAAAAGGAAAAAGGTGCGTAATACGGATCGGTGCAGTTGATAAATGCTGTACATGTTTATTACCATAATTAAATATAATTGACCAAACATCTGGTACAGATCAAGCAATTGAAGAGGTTAAATTCGAATTAAACAACATTTTTACATCTTTCTTTACTTTTGGGCTTTGGCCCATCAGATTATGATCAAAGGGCGTTTTCTTAAGGGTAAATTAAATTATACAAGGACTATACACAAAGGGACCCTTGTTAAAGTGAAAAAACAAAAGAAGTTTGGTATGATGTGGTTGTGTTACTAAAAAAGCGAAGCGAAAAATCTAACCTTGGAGAAGAACACAGGGAGAAGCACATTAAGACTAGTTAAGCATATTAATGTAGAGACAGAGAGGACACACTCGAGACTTGAAGTGAGATAGTAACGCAGCTGTCGCACGATACTACACAAATCCATTGTCTTTCTTCCTTCCCTTTTGGCCAGCAAATTAGCGTTTGCACCTGTCAGATCCCTCTCTCTCTCCCCTTTAATAAATAAATTTATTTTCCTTTCATATATATTTTTGTTGTAATCAACCATTCCAACTCCTCTGTTCCAAACAACTATCAAATAATAACCATAATACATCATCATAAACCATACCCACCTCTTCAAATTCAATGATTCCTCTGCTGCGAAAAAAGAGAGGCTGAATAGTGGGGGGTGTAGTAGGCACACTAACACACATATATAGTACAAAGCAGAAGATTTTGATGGGATTTTGGCAGAGGAAAAGAGAAGAGAGAGCTTAAATGAGTGAGACAGCAAGTCTTCATGCACAAACGAGGACACCCATTTCTTCTTTGGATGCCATGCCTCATCACCACCCACATTATCGATCACAGTTCGGAGACACCACATTCACCAAATTGTTTGTTGGAGGACTAGCCTGGGAAACTCCCACCGAAGAAATGCGCAAATATTTCCAACAGTTCGGAGACATTCTTGAAGCTGTCATAATCACTGACAAGAACACAGGAAAATCCAAAGGCTACGGATTCGTATGTTTCACTTTCATATTTATACCTTCAAATTCAATACCAACTTTTGTATTATACAACTAACTCCAAATTTTTTCATATTATTTCCTCCTTATTATATAAATGTTACATTTTCTTCAAACATCAGGTAACATTCTGCGATCAGGAATCAGCAAGAAAGGCATGTGCTGATCCAAACCCAGTAATAGATGGAAGAAGAGCAAATTGTAATATTGCTTCTCTAGGAAGGACTCGACCATCGCCACCCCGAGGTTAATTTACATACATTAATATACCTTCTATTGTCCAAATATTATCACACATGTTAAGTTGGTTAGAATAATTTGAGTGACAAGGGTTTTGTTGGTGCAGGAAGGAATATAGTTCAAGGTGGAGGAGGAACAGCACAGGCTGGGGGGTCGTACAGTGGTGTTCCGGGAGCAGGACCACCATCACTGCCACCACCACCTCCTGTTCTGTACCCACCATATGGGTGAGTTGAGTTAGCTTTGTTCATTTACTGGTGCCATTAATAATTCACATCACGCTTAGTCAAACGAACTGGTCCATGATATTAATGTGCAAGTGCATGTAGACGCACATCTTACTGTCTGCGTACATGATGCTTGACTGCTCCTCACCAGTTATAGTAGGTATCAGTGTCAGCTTAAATATCATATTGTAATAAAAGTACAAAAGGAAAAAGGTTTCTCTGCCATGCACACAATCTTCACCATTGCTCCTTCTAATTTCCTTAATCTCAACTCATTCCCATATTATGCTTAATCAAATGCATTTGATTTAAATTACCTAAATATTTACCTCACTTTTTTATTATTGTTTGATATATATTGATAAACTGAATAAATTGTATTTAATTTTTGTTTGATTCTTTCTGTAAATTTGTAAATACCATAAGATAAATAAAGCTTGGGATGATTTCATATATATAGTATTCTTGATGTATATGCAACTATGGTAACAGTAGAAATGCTGGTGATAACAGTTACAGATCAAGAGATATGTGATCCCTGGTAGTACATATACGCGTATTAATGTCTGAGTGGTCCTGAATCAATTAATTTGATTTATGATCTTGTACAAGAAAAAATCCCACAGCTCCCGGTACCTTTTGCATGTTCTGAACCACTGGGTCATTTTCACACCAGCATGTACTCCCAAGGGCTCTATATAGTATATATGTAAAATGTAAAATTTAGCTTCAGATACAAACGAGGCATGGATAATTAATATTCAAAAAAGTATAGAAATGCATTAATTAGCTGCATTCTTTACACTAATGCAAAAGATAATTATAATAAGACACTTTATGTTGAGTCTAATAAATATTTATTTATAATAAAAATTTACTATTTTTAAATGTAAGGATTGACTTTATCAAAACGAATAATAAAATAAGATGATTCTGAAGAGTTATTTGATTTGATGAGTTACACAGTAACTTTGATTAAATTTTGATTATTTACATATTTATTTGAAAGGCTTCATCTCCGAGTAGCTTATAGGTTTACTCTCAGTTTACATAGTCTTGATTATGTGTGCATGCATAGTATCCATATAATATATCACCATTTGCATTCTCCTTTGATTTGTTCCTACATGTGACAATGTCATGTTATGAAAAAAATAAAAAGTAAAATTAATAAAACTCACATAAATAAGGACAGGTCCTCCTATAAATATTTTTGTGTCTTCTTCTTTCCAAAGATATGTTATCGGGTTGTATTATATGCTAATCTTTTTTACTTTTTACTTCTTTTGTTTTTTTACATTCCTTCCCTTTCTGTTTATGGGACAACAAGGCTATTCATAGAATGTTCGACCTACAAAAAGAAAGCAATCACTCGAGTTATGATAAATTCAATCTTAGCCTTCTTAGGAGCTATACGTACCAGACCACAATGTAGTCACAAAAATATTAATCTCTCTCTCCCTCTCACTATACATTGATTAAAGAGGGAGCCCACGACATAGGACATTACTGGTATTAATGTACACTCCTCTTGCTGGAGTTACTGGAAAAAACATTACAAATATATTAAGTTCACTGGTCCATAATGTCAATAGCATGCCATTTTGAATCATTGCTTATTCTGAAAGGAAGAAATGCACTAATGCAATTTACATATTTCCTTTCATGTTTGCTCTCACTAATTAAATTCCTTTAAACATTACTCTTGCAGCTATACAACCTACACTCCTGATTATGGATACCCCCAAGTAAGCGTCTCTTTCTCTCTCACACACACTAATTAGCAACATGTTAATATTAATGATCTCAAATTAGGTAGTAATAATGGAGAACAGTTGGTTAACATTAGTTAATGATTGTATGAGCACAGGCCACGTTGTACAACCCACAGATTCAGCAACCACAATACTATCAACAACTCTATGGAACATCATCTTCCACCATGGGCTCACCATATTACTATGGTTATTCTGTACAAGCACCAAGAAACACATTTTCTTCACCACAAGCAAATCGACTATCACCTGGACCATCCTATGTATACTACCCTACACCCATGGAAATCTCTTTCTCTGGATTTCGTCCACCCCAACAATCACCAATAAGCCAACTCTTTCCTTCCCCAAATGGTATATACCTTTCGCTACTATTCTTGTATTTAATTTACTTTTCATCAATGTTTGTTATATGCAAAGTATATGCTAAAAATTAAAAATTATAACATTTAATATTATTGAGACATTAAACTCTATTTTATTATTTTTAATAAATGTACATGTATTAATTTTTATTATATACTTTAAAAAAATCGTATGTGTATTTCACCCACCCACCCGAGATAGTGCCCTAGTAAGGGAGAGAGATGCACACACAAAGGTTTATGAATTATATATGCAATTACTGACACACTATATATATTACGATTTGGCTGCAATATATGGCCATGGGGGTCCACATGGGTAACCCCAAGGCCATGTGAATGAGCTGTCTCGGTTGTGCCATGAATGGTGTGATGTATAATGGGTCAATGTGGAAAGTCATGACAGAGGGAAAGGGTCATCCCGTGTAAAATAACAGTGGATACATGTGGTTTCAGTAGGAAAACTAAAGGTGGTGGTTAATTCTTCAAAGCAGTCAAATGTTCTTGCATTGTGGCCCACATTGCATGCTAGACACATACTACCAGTGCTGTAATTTTTAATTTTATATAAATGCGGCCATCACAATTCACAGCAACATAGTTTTAATTCGTTCCCCTTTGTGAGTACATATTATGCTAGATCAACTTCTAATTTTTGTATTTGACAGAATTTTTGAAAATCATACAATTGAAACGAAAAAAATATGATGGGTTAGTTCATATTTCATTTGCAGTTGGTTTTACATATTTTGATCAACCTGATTATTGAAATGCTTCCTCTGTGTTTAGCACAACTTTAATTATTGCTTATTATATGGTTGGTCTTGATCAGATTCACAGAGTCAGCAGCGTACCTCTGAAACAGCAGCCGGGGTAGTTGTAACTTCAGAAAGTTCAAATACCCAAGGGAAGAATTAATAAATACATATACCTGCTAAGTTTCAACTGTTAATCGCAAGTTAAATTTCATCACATTAATTATTCATCTTTTTTCCACATTATATCTTAATTTTTTTTAGGCCCCCTAGCTTTAGCTTTAGGAAATAAGGGTGAAGTTCAACTGATTACCGGTGTTTTCCAGAGCTATGGCATTCAAAATATGGACTAATCGACTTCATTCATATTATCTTCATTCTCCTTTCCTTTTCTTTAGACATTTTCACTTCGAACTATGTTTACTAATTATATTTCAATTATCCAGCCAAATCATCATAACAAGTTGCATTACAATGTTTAGTCAATGTGTTTATCGATTAGTCAATATTTCTTCAACCAATATTTAAAAATAAAGATTGATCAATAATGAAACGAATTATTCAATCCATATGATTTGTTAAATACATTGCACGGTTGTGATTTAACAGTGTAGAAGTTAACATTTCTATCAAGGTTTTATTAGATATTAACAATCTAATTATTATATTATGTGATAAGCATCTTGAAGGTGACATGCATAAAATTTCTGCAATTTAAATATTTATAAATTTATCATTTAATAATTATTATTTATTTATATTTTAAATAACATATTATAGTTGGACTCCACAAGATGGTTCACCACCTAACAAAATGCTTCAAGCATGCTGGAATTATTCATAGGATGTCGCAGGCTTTACACTATAGGCCACCATGTAAATGGGGCATTATTATTTTTATTTGCACCCCCCGCCCCATCTTTTACTATTTGCATAACCTTTTTCCTTTAACTATGATTTATGAGATTTATTTTTTAAAAGTGAATTTAATATTTTTTCAATTAAATTTTAAAAATAAAATTTGAAATTTAGTTTCTAGGAGGCATATAATTATTTCAAATTTGAATTTTCAAAAATAATTTGCAACTAATTTTCAAAAGACAGTAGATCACTTTCAGAAGTTAATTTTTAGAAGTTATTTGAAAGATTTTAAAATTTAGATTCTAAAAATTATCAAACACATTTGAAAAATTACAATTAAAAGGTTTTTGTGCAAAATGTAACGTCCCTCTAACAGGTTTTTTTTTATTTTATTTTTTTAGTCAAAACGTCCCTCCGACTTTTCCGCGATACTATGGACTTGAGAGTTCAGCAGCCCATATCCATAGACACCAAACAAAACTCATTGGGCCAAAGCCTGTTGACAGAAAATAACTTTTTCTCACTGGGTACAGTGTAAAATGCTAAGACAGTGGACAACCTTCAGCTGTAGTTCGTTTTTATTTTTATTCATTCCATTAGAGTTGACCCAAGAAAAATATTCAATATGAATCTGGGTACTCAACTGAGACATCAGTATTTACAAATTGTAACAAATAAACAATTACATGCCTCAAATTTAGAGTTTTTTTATATTAAAAAATTATTAAAATATAATGTTTTAAGAGAAATTATGAAATTTTGAAAAATTTTGACTTATAACTACAATTTTTTATATTTTAACAAAATTTTATTATTTTTTAATAAATTATTATTAATGAGTTTTGATTTTTTACAATTTCTTAATATTTTTTTTAAAAAAATATCACTCACGATCTTTTAGATTGCATAACTTTTTATTATTTATTTTTAAATTTTTAATTATATCACTGACGATTTTTTAACTTAATAACATTTAATTTTTCTGAAAATATCATATATATATATATTATATTCAAAATAACGAAGCCCAATTCAACCTTCTCAGAAAATCTTCCTCGTCTGCTGCCATAATTATTGAGTTGTTGCGCAAACACGTTACACGTTTTCAAATGCCATCGTGCTTTTAAGTAATTTTAGAAATTGAGAATATTGCATTAACAATATAGTAAAATATTCAGGCACGACAGACATTTTCTCCCCCATTTTATGGACGTACCAAGTTAACTTAATATAACTATTGGTGAAGTTATGATTTTCTTGAAAAAATTATGAAAAAAAAGGTGTTTAAAAATTATAAGAAATTAATCAATTTAATTTTTTAAATAATAAGCACATGTCAATTTTGTTTTGAATTGTGAAAATAAATTTTAAATTCCTTAAACTATAAAAAATTATATTTTAATTTCTGAAATTATAAGCACTCATCAAATTAATCTCTATTTTATAAAACAAAATTTCTAATATCTAAAATTATAACAAAGAATTTGTGTTCTTGAAATTATCCAAATATTTTAATCACCTATTAATTTTCGTCAAATTTGTTCAAATAGCATATTATGGTAATTGAATATTTCTTTCAAAGCATTAAAAATTCAATTGTAACCATTCCCCCATTCTTGGATAGTTCACATAGCATATTATGGTAAGAAATTTAACAAATTAATGTTTTGTTATTATCTTGACCGCAAAGGAAACAGAGAACAAACAATCGATTTCCCAAACGAAACCAATTTGGGGCCAAAAGTTGAAGTTTTATAAATTAATCAAATCACCTATTCTACAAGTTACATAAGTTACATAGGTCATGAATTTCAGCCACAGAATTTTTTAAAATCAATTATTGCAATCACCTCCTTAAATTGATGATAATCTGGTTGTACCACCAAGGGCCTTGCTGTGCCAAGTTAAACATATCGGTGATAAACTCATGTATACAATGAGCACTTGCAGAATGAGTTATAGAATCTTAGTTAGTGAGATATGTAATGAAATTTTTCATTAATAACTTTTGTTGTTGATGTATGATTTGGCTATACGTTGAAATTTCCGGATTAAGTAGATACGGAGTAGTAGATTGATCTAGGTTCCAAAAATGTTTATTTAATAGGTATATAAACATAGAATTTGGTTTTTCTAGTGGGATTAGTTTGACTATATCTGATTGCTCCATAATGTGATGCTCATAACAAGTCATAATACGCAATTACACATGGTCCAAATATGATGGCAATGTGCTAATTTAAACAGCGTAAACAATGTAGCTTCGCAACATACAACGGTTTGCATTTTTCAAAGAACACAGGACTTTTCTTCTAACGCTGAGAAACACTTTTATTCTGCCATGTTTTGTTTCGATTAAAAAAATTTAATTAGAAAAGGAGAAAATTTAAGAATAAGTTGTATAGAAGAAACTTAGAAAACGAAATCGAAAACAATCTTTAAATGATATACTGAGTGAATAACCAATAAGCACGAGAACTTCTTACCGGATGTTCTTATGCACTTCTATACTTTACAACAAGGACTATAAATTTTGCCAAATGTGAGAAACATGTAGTAGAAGGTCATATTCACGAGGACAATTATGGCTCACTCTTGTCACAGGTGCATGCTAAAACGAAGAACTCCTTTCAATTAAAAAAAATCATGAAATTTGATTATAATAATTTTGTTAAATTTTTTGCCCTGCCGTTTTAAATTGAACTATTAATTTATTGTTATCTTTTCTTAATCGTTCACTTCATGATTTTATTTAAAAATAATAATACATAATTAATACAAATAACGTAAAATCGTTAACTTAAGAGTCCACTAACATATCCATAATCCAAAATGACTACTTGTTCACAAATGTGCCCCTAATCTTCGCTGTCAACCTCTAATGGTCTGTTTGCAGCAAATTTGAATCCTTCGATGCTATCGAGTTAGGAAAAAGAAGATTTTGGGCTTATTAAGAATTTTTTGACACGAAGAGACAACAGATTGCATATGAAATGAATCAATGAACAAGTTGTGGAAAAAAAAGGAGAGCAAATTATGGTACTGGATGGAGAACTTTGAAAAAGGTTGACATATTACTGATATGTATAAAAAACAAAAATAAAAATGTAGTTAAGTCTATGGCCGCCAACAATATTAAATGCGCCCCCCCCCCCTCCCCAGGGAAACGCATAGTGCTGCATATTTTTCATTCAACATTGTTATATTTTCTTATTTATCTTTTTGATAATTTTTTATTTTACAAAATAAGTATTAAATACAAAGATATATATATATATATATATAGTTAAAAATATAAAAAATTATTTAATATTTTCTTCATTCAATAATTGAGAGAATTTATAAAAATAAAAGATTATAAAATTTAGAATTATTCATCTTCATTTCATACCAACTTTTAATAAACATATCGCACGCTATTAATTTAATCTATTCAATTAAAACACATACATACAGTTCTTACTGGTTGAGAGCTTGAGATTGAGAGATGTAGTCAACAGCAGGCCCTATGTATCAAAAAGATAGTTGAAGTAGGCATGCAAATAATTTATTCATAAGGAGGTCAATCTTAAATGGTTTGTAAAATTATATAAAATGGTTAATAAAAACTAATCCGTCGATATGCCCCGTTTGGAAGAAGAGATAGATACATAGTAAAGAGAAATAAATGAAGTGATCGAAAACAAATAATATGAAAAAAAAAAATCAGAATTGTATGATTAATATATATCGTAATCATGGAAACTTGGTTTTCAAAATAGCAGCCAACTTGGACCGAAACATACAGCTCGTTTAATGACATCCCTTTCCATGTACGAGATGTAAGCAGGGCATCCGTTCGCATAAAAATACAAAGCCGTCCAAAAATTAACTGTCTTTGTCTGCATTCACACAAAACAAACGTAAGAACCAAATGTCACCTTATTCAAACTAGTTTTTTTTATCATGCAGCAAAGTAGTACTCAGCACTTGACGTGCAATGAATTGCACCTCTTACTTTGCTATAAATTATATTTGACATTTGACTTTAGATGATTTATTTGACTTTTCATCAGCAAGATAAATATAAATGGACACTACCCCACGACACTAGCCACTAGTAGAGTAGTTCCCTGCTCCTCCCTTTTTTACGATTTTTTTTTTAAAATTATATCATATTCTCTTGCCGATAAGCTATATATTTGATGTTTGTATAAGTTACATAAACTGTTTTTAACTCCATCAAGAAACTATTACACAAGAGAACAGAAAGTACACCCAGTTTAATTCTTCCTTCGCAGCAATTAAGCTACCACAATCACTTCCTCTTTGAATTACAAATTTGACCAAACACAAGCAGGTCAACAGAAAATGAATTCCTTGAGCATCGCAAAGAAGAAGCCTCATGCAGTTTGTATGCCATACCCAGCTCAAGGCCACATAACTCCAATGCTCAAACTAGCAAAACTTCTCAATTTCAGCGGGTTTCACATCACTTTCGTTAACACAGAATTTAACCATAAACGTCTTCTTAAATCCCGTGGTCCAGATTCCCTCAAAGGCTTCCCTTCCTTTCGCTTTGAAACCATCCCTGACGGTCTACCAGAGTCTGATGTTGATGCCACACAGGATACACCTACCTTGTGTGATTCCCTCAGAAAAACTTGCTTAACACCCTTTAAAAGCCTTCTTTCAGAACTCAACAATGCCACAGATGTTCCTCCTGTTACTTGCATAGTTTCTGATGGTGCCATGAGCTTCACCTTAGAGGCTGCCAAAGATCTAGGCATCGCAGAGGTCCTTTTTTGGACTGTAAGTGCTTGTGGCCTCATGTGTTACCTTCACTATAGTAAACTCGTCAAAATGGGCCTCACACCCTTCAAAGGTACTATATGTTAATTTCTATAGTTTTAGGAAAATGTAATTGAAAATGTTCAGATGACTTTAATTTATTACGTTACAATTGCCTTTTGCATGTAGACTCGAGTTATATAACAAATGGGTATTTGGAGACTGCCATAGATTGGGTACCTGGCATCAAAGAAATTTTGTTGAGAGATTTCCCCAGCTTCATGAGAACCACAGACCCAGATGACATTATGCTGCAGGTTTTGCAGGAAGAGTGCGGGAGAGCTAAGCATGCTTCTGCAATCATTTTGAATACATTTGAAGCATTAGAGCGTGATGTTCTGGACGCATTTTCGTCAATTTTGCCTCCTGTGTACCCCATTGGTCCCTTAAATTTACTCTTGAATCATGTCACGGACGAGGACTTGAACACAATTGGATCGAACCTTTGGAAGGAAGATCGAGGGTGTTTGGAATGGCTTAACACCAATAAACCCAACTCTGTGGTTTACGTGAACTTTGGGAGCATCACAGTAATGACAAGTGAGCAATTGGTTGAGTTTGCATGGGGACTCGCCAACAGTGGCAAAACCTTTTTATGGATCATTAGACCAGATCTTGTGGTTAGTGAAAACGCACTTCTTCCTCATGAGTTTGTGTCTGAGACAAAGAATAGAGGTCTTATGTCAGGTTGGTGTCCTCAGGAGGAAGTACTAGCTCACCCTGCAATTGGAGGGTTCTTGACACACAGTGGTTGGAACTCAACCATTGAAAGTTTGTGTAATGGAGTGCCAATGATATGCTGGCCTTTCTTTGCTGAGCAACCAACTAATTGTAGATTCTGTTGTAAGGAATGGGGGGTTGGGTTGCAGATAGATGGTGATGTAAAGAGGGATAGAGTTGAGAGCCTTGTGAGGGAATTGATGGAGGGGCAGAAAGGGAAAGAGTTGACCAAGAAAGCCTTGGAATGGAAGAAACTGGCAGCAGATGCTGCTATTAACAAAACTGGGTCTTCATTTCTGAATTATGATAACATGGTTCGTCAAGTTCTTTTGAGAAGAACTTGAAATCAAGTTGGACCAATAAGGAGCTTGGATTCCATTTGCAGTATCTCTCCTTTCAAATATGTCAGCGAGCTAATTAATATTTGTGACGTTACAAGTTTTTTTTTTTTTTTCCTTTTAAAAATTTTGCTTATTTTTTACTTCTTGGACGCAAAATAAATCCAAGTCCTTTGTTGAGGAGAAACATTTCCATAGTCAGGGAGTTCCTAACAATTATGTGATCATACATATATATATATAATTCTCGATTTATTTACTAATTTTTCCTTGTGAAGGCATTGACGATTTCATTAATTGAAGACGTGAAAGGTCTAGTCCCGCCAAGATTGTGTATCAAAGTCCTGATTAGAAATGTATATATGAAGATTTTTTGTAATATTTAATTTAACAAGTGAGATAGATTGTCACTACCTTGATTTAATATCTATTTGTCTAAGTATGTAGCTTGATCTATGACATAACAAGGAAAGTCGATGACAATATTTTATTCAAGAGTGGCAACAATAAGGTTTATGGATTGAAATTGACACGTAAAATTTAGAAGCACAAGATAGACTAACGAGAAAATGATAAAATTTGCATCAAGTTGTGATTTCAATTTTGTACTTGGACTTTATTTTGATATTTGTGTCTCGATTCTCTTTCATCTATTGATCTAGCAAAAATGACTTCACAGTAAATTTTGTAAATAATTAAAGATATATACTATACATGAAAGAAGTATCTTTTCTTTTACTTTTTTCACAAAAGGCATCGTCTTCTTATTTGCAATGGAGATAATTTTTTTTTTTAAGTTTAAACATATTTATGCTAAAGAAATGTTTCCTCCATCTCTTTATATTTCGATGATGTATATGCGATTTCCATCACGTAGTGTAATCTCGATCAAGGAATGTTTTTTTTTTAATACATAAATTTGGTCCCCAAAATTAATCTAACTATCCATGAACTTAGTTCTTAAAATTATAAAAAAAAAAATATTAAATTATTATTATTTTAATCTCTCTTATTAATCTTTGTTAAATTCTAACAATTTATTTACTGTGAAAATTATGTTAACATGGTGTATACATAACATAAACCTTAGCGATGGATAATCTTAACATTTTGGCATAAAATTTATTTTAAAAAATGAACGAAATAAACTTAAAAATGACAAATAGGTAAAAAAAGAAATACTCTTATGTAAAAAAATGAATGAAGTTGAAGTGAAAGAAAAAATAACAGTCACACCAACACACATCATTTTCTAATTTTTTTTTCCCCCATAAAATTACACTGTGTTATTCAATTACATGGTTGGAGACCGCGTTGACCCTTAATATGTCTTTTACAGGAATTGATTAAAAATTTGATGAAAAATTTTGATTAACAAATTAATTTTGATGAACATATTATGGTAAATTTCATCAAATTTTTAAGGAACCCGTGGAATGAATGTTTTGAAAGAAACCCCCCCCCCCCCCCCCCCGGGTAATTGATCATTTTTATATAAAGATTTTGTTAACAAGTCTTTTACAGGAATTGATTAAAAATTTGATGAAAAAAGTATTAAAATTACGTTAAAAATATATTAAAAAACATAAGAGAGTATTGTAGCATTACACTTTCTAATAAATTTTTAATCAGTATTTTAAGTATATTCATCAGCATTTTCCTTTTTTTTTTTTTGGGTCCCCAGCATTTTCCTTTATTTAAACATAAGTTAAATAAAGGAAATGAGTGGGCATTTGCATGTGTACATGAAGGGATGACCTCTATGCAATCAGTGTTCGAAGAGGACAATAAAACCTTCTAAATGCAAGGCAATGTAAATTTCTTCTATTTTGTTGAGAGAAATATAAAAAGGAAGGTTGAAAAATATACAAGAGGACGAATTCCGAAACCCTAACGGCGTGTCAATATTTCAGAAATATATAATTCTGGAATTGAAATTATAAAATTCTAAAAAGTTAATTTTATAGTTATTGAACTTAAATTATGGAAAAAATAAATAAATTTTCTAGATTGAAAGTTTACAAAATTTTAAAAGGATATTTTAAGAATAAAATTAAATAAATAATTAAAAGAGGCTAAAAATATTTCTGTTAATTCCGACATAAACAAAAGATTTCTTTCTGTGGCTAAAAATATTCTCTTTGTATTAGATTCGGATTCTCTCTCTTAACTGGACGTATTATCACGTTGATTCTATATTTTTGTTTAAGTAGAAAATTTTACTTAAGCAAAAATATAAAATTTTGCTTAACTTCCGTCCAGTTCGCGTCAAAACAGGAGAGAATCCCGGTCCCTTTGTATTATGTCTTCTTATCAGCGTTTCACAGACAGGCTCGGTGCTTGGTCCGTTTAAGCCGAAACTATATAGGACCCAGCACCTCTGAGTTTCTGATTTTGAAGATATAAACAATGTCCAAAGGCAAGTATAACCAGACAGCGAAAAAACTCCCTCTCAAATAAATAATTAAAAATTTAATATATCTTTTTTAAAAAATTAATACCAGTATGACTAATTTTATAAAAATAATCAATAAGTGCATCATAAATACTAAGAACATATTTGATTTCTTTTTTAAAAATCATTTTCTTTTTTTAAATATAATTTAATAAAAATTTATACTTTATTTTATTTTTAAAAATAAACAAATTATTTTTATAAAGAAAATCAAACATGTGCTAAATCTTTTTTCATTTGAATTATACATTAAAAAAGAAGAAGAAAAAAGGAAATAGAAAAGAAGAGAGAAACATAATTTACTTGAATATTTTGAAAGAAGAGAAAAAAAAAAGAGGGAGGAGAGGAGAGAACCTATGGGAGAAATTTTTTAGTATTTTTTAAAATATTAAAATAATCTAAGATTTTTAAAAAATAAAAACAAATTTTAGTTAAAAGTATAATAATAAAATATAGTTTTGTTATAAATATTTTAATATAATTTAATTATTTTGATTTTGTTCATGTTTAAACAAATAAAAAATTTATAACTTTTTATTTTAACTTATCGAAACATCAATTATTTCCCTATTTTTCCTTTTTTTTAATATATTTAACCTCTCATCGTTATTAGTTCCTAAGAAATTGCTTAGTATTGCATCTGATTGGACTAAAGGCAAAGGTAGAGATATATGTGTTGGCTTTATGGGGATCCAACTTGTAAACATGGGCACACACCGAACTTTATTGGTTAAGGTAACAGCATCCCCACTCATCTACCGCCCTCAAATAAAAACTCTAATCAATTCCACCAAACATTCAAAGGGAGAATACGAGCATTCAAGACCAATTGACTCCATTAATGATTAATATCTTTAGTTACAGCTACCATTTCTCTGCATCACGGACAGATAGAATCCAATATGTATATATATACACGGATAATTGGATATGCATGTAATTTAGTCAGAACCAGCAGTTCCTTAATAAATATTTAAGACGTATGGTGCAATGTTTGGCCAGTGAATTATTAATTTGAACTAATGTAGGGTTACATTCGTGGGACCTTATATTATATTCGTCAAGAGTCAAGTCTGTGTCTGCAAATTTAGATCAGGCCAAGCTATGTCTATTGTCCAGAGGTGAATGCACCATCACAAGCATCGGGGTTTTCTTTACGACTATCGGGAATTTAGGCCATTGTAAGGGGACACACAGCAAATATTTTTTTGTATTATACACAAAACTCTCTTAAAAGTAGCACACATAGCTTTGCCTCCTGAATCAAGCATTATGATTAAGGTTTATAATTATAGTATAGTTTTGTTCTCGTGATGTTGGACTATGAATAGCAAAGTTATATAATAATAATATGGACACAGTTTATCTACCCAGTGCAACTTGGGAGGTGAGATGTATCTGACCCACCTGTAAACTGAAAGGACAAGGCACTGTTGTTAAATATTATGATCATTTTAATCAGATGCACTTTAGCCGTTGGTATGGCCAAGAGGCAGCTGGTAACTATGGTGAATTATAAAATTTAATTTAATTTTTTATTTATTTTTTAACAAAAAATATGGTGAATTTCTTGAATCCAGGCAGTGTAGGATTTTGATTTCAGTATAGTTACCAGCTGCCTCTATAATACTTGTTCCTAACTCACTATCTCTATCTTCACCATATTTAATAAATTAAGTAAATTAAAATTTAATTCTTATGAATTAATTAACAAAATTATAACTCAATATTATTATGTTTCAAATATGTAACAAATTCATATTTTAGCTAACACGTAATATTTAAAAATATTTTAAAATAAAAATAAATATATCAATATTTTTGTATTTGAAAGTATACTTTCTAATTTTTATTAAATTTTATTTTTTAATTTATTAAAACAAATAATTATTTGTTATCATTCAGTTTTGTCAGTTAAACACTTAAATGGTAATCATAATTTTAATTTAACAGAGTCACATAAATAAATAATTTTAAACCTTTTTTGTGCTCATAAATTTGTAGTCATTAAATAAAAAAATATTTTTAATATATATTTAAGAATATATAATAAGAAGTTAAAAGAGGATAATTTTATTAAAAATATAATATTTAATATTATTAATATATATATATATATATTACTCTTTTTATTAAAAAAATATTATGTGAAAATTTGTATTATATATATTTAAGACGCAAATTAAGAAAATCATAAAAAAATACACGAAACCTCTTAAATTAACACCAAGAATTTATTGGTTACCCAATAGCTTTGACAATGGCTTGCAAAAAAACTAATACCGAGGCAAATGAGGTACCATGCTTTTTCAGCTAGTGGGTTAAAAAGGTTTGCTCTGTGGCCTGTGGGTTTTATTACGTGACTGGTGGTATAAATATTCATGATTTCACTTGTTTATAATAAATTTTGCGTTTCTTAGGAAATTAAAAACATTTGTTAAAAATATAATAAATTTATATTTTATAATTTTAAACGTAATATGATATAATTTTATTAAAAATTATTATATTTAATTTCTTAACTAATGTCTTAAAAATATCAGCAACACAACTCTTAAATTTTATTTGTATGATTCTCAAATTAAGTATTTTTATTTTCTCTTAAAATGATGATTTTTATTTTATGTAATTTAAATCAACATTCGTTTTCAAGATTATAGCTGTTTTTAATAAAAGAAAATTGAGTTTGAGATAAAAATATCAACAATTAAATCTCTAGATAATTTTTTTATGGTTATTTTTATAAATTAATAATTTTACTTTGTTTATTTTTTATTAGTACATGCAATTTAATGAATTTAAGTTTTTAAATAAAATAAAAATATAACTTCAAAATGTTATATTAAAAAATTACAATTATAATACTGATAATAAAAATAATAACAATAACATACATAATGTCATAATGATAATTTTTTGTCACCTGCGTAATAGTATTAGTATTACAACGTAGGTATTTATTTAAGCAGGTTAGTGTGTTAAATTAAAAAACAATAATTGTTTAAAATTTAGTTAGATAAAAAATTTCTAATTAAAATATAACATAAAAACTATGTTATAATATCTCATTATTCAGTTTTTAAAATAAAAGCTTCTTAAAAAAACCCAAAAATTAAAAGATAAAATTATAAACTAATATTTGATGGATTAAATTTATTTTTTATTTAAAGATCCAAAACTCAAAATACATTATAGAAAACAAATGAATTATGCGTATAGGGGCTCAATTATTAGTGAAAAAGGCAAGATTCTCCTATAATTTTTTCACATTCATGAACCTAAAAAGTAAAATATATTTTATTTTGTGCATCAAAATATTTTTTTATTTTCTACAGCTATTAATGTTGGAAATAATTGGTTAGGTCATAATCAATAAAAATGGGAAATTATAAGAGACGTTTTGTTCCTATACCATCTTGCAATAAATACAAAGTAGTATCCATTCATAATCAAGTACTAAAAAATAACATATACCAATTACCTATATAAATAATATTTAAAATTATTGTAATTTTACGTGCGTTTAAGTGTTTTAGTCAGTGTCACTTTACCGATAAAACAATGTTAGTTACCATTTTAAGTAGGGGTAAGTCCAGAGCCAGTTGTTTGTGAACACAATCCGCTTTGTCTTATTATTTGAAATTATTTTTTACGAATCAAAATTTTTAAAAAGCTTGATAAATTTTAAAAATAAAATAACTTATATGTTAAATATATTATAGTTATACCATTTATTTTAAAATAAAACCTGTAAAGTTTAATTTGATAATTTAACCATAAGTTAGAGAATGATATTATATTTACAAATTGAGTGAACGAAATTTCATTTAATGTATTATTAAATTTGAACGAAGTGACATTTTAATATAAATAAAAAAAAAATGTCTAAATTTAAAGTGGGATAAACAAATGGGATCCGGTGTGTACCTTGAATACCCCTGATGCTTATGGTGAGGTGGATAACAATGTGTAGTCCAGGTGGACTAAAGTATCCGTTGATGCGGTCACGTGCCTGGCGCGTATATCATATGAAATGAGGGGGCGGCGTGGCGTTACATCACGTGCTTCCTCGGATACCTCCAAAGGCATTCATAAGGTGCCATTGAGTGAGTGCCAGTTGGATCCATTCCCGCTTCCCCATAAAATCCAGCCTGTCATCTCATCTCTCATCTCAACGTCTCTCTCCATAATTTCACCACTCTTCTTCCCATTTTGCCCTCCCACTCTCCTCATGCCACCTGGTTGCCCTTATCCATTTCTCGGGTCAATTTTGACTTTCAAATAATATAACTGGCCTAAGCTGTAATGCTTTTGTCACGTAGCCACCCCCACAAAACAACGCCTTCACTTATTTCCACAAAGGATACACTTTCTTCTTCTGCCTTCCCTGTAACACACCTTTTTTTTAAATGCTATCACACCGCGTCCTAATGGCTTGCTTCTCACGCCCCAACAACACAGTAAACAGTAAACATTCTACTCCTGCGCGTGGAACGCACTCTTGTAGTTTCGGATGGGTTATAATGAAAGCGGTTCTTATTGGGGGGTCCCTCTTAGCTTACTTACTGGGCAAGCCGTGGCTCGTAAATGCCAGAGGGGCTAACCACTTCCCACGCACAAAAGTCACTCTTTAATCTCTGTCTCTTTCTGGGCAAGTTCCACCCCCCACAATCACAGTTAAAACACATTTTTAATTAATTAAAATATCTCCTACCTGGGACCTATATATAACTCTCTTCCCATTTCCCTCATCCACATCACCAAATCCACAGCTATCTCAGCTATTCCATCCATTTCTAAAACAAAAGGCCGTTACCATTCTCAGCTTCGGTCTGCTTCATTCAAAAAATGGCTCCTCTTGTTTCCTGTCAATGCATTCTCAAAATCTTCCTTCTTATTTCTGTCTTTCATCTTTCTTTCGCTGCTAGGAAGCTGAGTGAACTGGTAAAGGACCAGTCTCAGCTACTCCATTACCACAACGGTCCTTTGCTATTTGGCAAAATCTCCGTCAACCTCATCTGGTACGGTCAGTTCAAACCATCTCAAAAGGCCATAATCTCCGATTTCATTACCTCACTGTCATCCCCAACGGTTCACAGCAACCAACCCTCCGTTGCCACGTGGTGGAAAACCACCGAGAAATACTACCACCTGGGCTCCAAGAAGGCTGCTCCTCTTTACCTTTCATTGGGTAATCAAATTCTGGACGAGAACTACTCGCTGGGAAAGTCGCTAACCAGCAAGCAACTTGTCCAGTTGGCATCCAAAGGAGGGCAGAGAAACTCCATCAACGTTGTACTAACATCCGCTGACGTGGCGGTGGAAGGTTTCTGTATGAGCCGATGTGGGACTCACGGGTCTTCTTCGGTGGGTCACGTGAAGGGCAAGAACTACAAGTTCGCTTACATTTGGGTTGGTAATTCTGAGACCCAATGCCCAGGTCAATGCGCCTGGCCATTCCACCAGCCAATCTATGGGCCTCAGAACCCACCGTTGATCGCTCCCAACAATGATGTGGGGCTTGATGGAATGGTTATTAACTTGGCAAGCCTATTGGCCGGAACTGCCACCAACCCCTTTGGAAATGGCTACTTCCAGGGTCCCGCTGAGGCTCCACTAGAAGCTGCATCGGCATGCCCTGGAGTTTATGGTAAAGGTGCTTACCCTGGTTATGCTGGTAACTTGCTGGTGGACTCTACTACTGGTGCTAGCTACAATGTGAATGGTGCTAATGGCAGGAAGTACCTTGTTCCTGCCTTGTATGATCCTTCTACATTGTCTTGCTCAACTCCTGTTTGAGGCTTTTGATGCCGATCGTTATTGTGTTACTGCGTACCCACTGCTAGACTAAAAACCACGAACACGGGATTAGTAGGCTGTACAAATAAGCATCATGTAGGATAAATTCATTTATTTGTTTATTATATCTTCTCATTATGCTGATGAATCACATATTACATATATAGCAAATGTACTTGGGTTTGCTTTTAAATATAACTCTCGATCTAAAACAACTTTACATTTCCGATAGCATAGCTCATTGTGTTTATTATTGTTTATAATGAGAGTAGTATGATAAATTAATTTCAGCACAGCTTAATCTAGTATTCAAAGTACTATAATATTATTATTATTTCTGAAATTATCATATAACTAAGTTTTGTAAGTTTAAGACAAATCTGTTCTTTACGAAACCTCATCCTGGATTGCCCTTAACACAACTTGCTCGAACCGGCTTGAACCAACTAAAACCTGTGTTTTACTTGATTTAATGGAGTTTGACTCGATAAATGTTCGATCTTTTTTATATATATACTTAAATTAAACAAATGAGTGTAAGTTCATTTTAATTTACCGAGTTAATCATCACATTTCGTTTCACATTGAAAACGTGCAAGTTAATATATACATTTGTGCTGTTAATATTTTCCTTTTCTGTCGTATGGATTAAAGGACACTTTTAATTAATGTTTTTAGAATATTAATTGTCATTTATATAAACGTGATTAAAATTTTCTATCTTTAAATACATAAAATTAATTTAAAGACATGTTAATAACTTAATTTTTATCATGTAACATGTCTACTAAATGTATATTAATAAAAAATTATATATTAAATATATCAAATTTGTATTTTTAAATAAACTAATTTTAACTCAATTAATTAAATAAGCCAATTTTAATTTTTGTTCACAAGCGTGATCTTGTCTGATGTCTCCTCTTTTATGTTGTCTCAACAAAAGAAGCGATATTCCCATGGTACCAAGTGTTCTCAACAAGTTACTAATAATACTCTGTCCTTTGTGGGGACAAAAGAAAGAAAAAACAGAACTTTAACTGAATGCGGAACATACCACTTAAATGAATGACTCTTTTAACATAAAAGAAAATGTAAAATATAAAAGTAAAATTTTATCTATTATTAATTATTTGTTAAAATTTATTAAAAATTATAAAAATCTTAAAAAATATTAGTTTAATAATAATAACGAGAAAGACTGAATAATTTGACTGCTCTAGTAATATGCCTAGCTAACAAAAGAAGAGGCTGACTCGCGATTTTGAAAAGCAACAGAAATTGGTAGGCAGGTTGCAAATATGACATACGACATTTTTCAATTTCTTCTAAATACTTTCTTATAGGTAACAAACGCGCATTTCTATTGTAATTTTAGGGTATATTTGAGAGAAGAAAGAAGGGAACATCATATTTTTTTAATTTTAAATTAAAAGAATTATATATTATTTATAATAATAAATATATTATTAATATATTAAATTTATGTTAATATATAAATATTAAATATATTCAAAATATAAATTTTGCCTTTTCTACTTCTTCCTTCCCTAACAACCTTAATTTTTTAACCCATGTTTTTTTTTCTCATAAATGTACCATTCTTATTTTGGGTATTATAACAGTAATAAGGTTTGAATCCATAGCTTTATTCGAATTGTCCAAGCCTTTTATCACGGAATCCAATCGTAGTGTACTATTCTAGCAAAAACATATATGAGCACTTCATTTTAATTTATTTTTTTCGGAATATACATGCCAGCTGTTTAAGATGTAAACGTTACGTAGTGAGGTACTTTGTGGTTTGTCGCCTAATTCCTCACTGCAATCAATCATGTGGATTTTATGGATCTGGAATCGAGTTCACTAACAATAAAAGTGCTTTTATTTCTCAACTCTTTCGGGAACTTTTTTTTATTTACCGAAAACACGTTCAGAAAGCATAATGATGTATAAAATAGTTTCGTTTATAAAACAGTTTTTATTTTCGTTTACGAATTACGACACGAATATTTTTCAAGCAAATGCGAACTAGAAAGAGAACACGTTGCATGTTCTACAAACCTTTTGACATAAATCAAATGCGAAGGCAAAGCTCAATGCTATGAGTAGCTAGTAATCACCGAGTTCAAAGTAGTTAACATATCTCAATCTTTAGCTAAAGTTGATCCCCATGGAACTTTTTTTATATATATAAGAAGAAAAAAGCTTTCTTAATTCTTACATTTAGTTAAAAACCATGATCATGAATAATAATGGAACACTACCATGATAACTACTCTATTTGTCAATATTCCATAAATAATACATGTTGCAGACACGATATAGAAAAATGTCATTTGCAATTGTGAATAATTGCACACCATCCAGCAAAGCATTTAAAATCATCCGCTACTAAACCCTGCAAAAGAACAAAGATCTTTCACGGGGTTGTCCCACATCCAGCTTTCTGCAAAAATTATCAATTAACGAAAAAAGAATGTTCTCCCAAACATGCCTTCATTTCTCATGTTGGCCCTGCCTCTGTTAGGCGCATCACATGCATTTATCTTTTCTCAGCCATTACTACTATTTTCTTGTCGAGTACGTAGAGGTGTTCGTTTATTATCGTTCCACTTCAGTTTTTTAGTTCCATAGTTCCATTGGAGCTTGAAGATAACTCTTCTTCTTTTGGCCATTTTTTTATTGCTTTCCTTTCATGGCATATTTAGTTCGCACGATGACATGAGATCTGATTGAAAAAAACTTGGTAACTTAAGAACTACTGAATTTTTAAATTATACTTTGTTTTATTATATCGTATTAGATTAGAAATTATATAATATAATACTAATATTCTGTCATGAATTATATCACATTGGATAGAACGGAAATTTCTATTTTATAACATAATTTCAATTTAAAATGTAATATATTTATATAAATATATACATTGTACAATTAATTAAAAATATTTTTTTCATACTAAAATTAACAAATTTTTAATGAGAATCAAATAGTTAAGTACCGGATCTGAATCAGTGAGGTTTCTAATCCAATGTTAATCTCTACCATTCATTATTATATTTAATATTTTTAAATAAAAAATTAAATATTTCAATGGCTAAAATTCTCTCCAGTAATAATATCATTGCAGAATATCTTGATGTTTAAGTAATTAACACGTTTAGAAGGAACTCCTAGATCTTCATGATCGTATAAAATTATTTTTATATCTATTCATGTAGTATTTTTGAACAATCTTATACATTATATTTTGTTTCATTGTTGTATAATTTTGTATTATTTTTAAAATTTTATTTTTAATGTTATATAATTTATATGTACAGTCGCTAAATTTTAAATTCTTGTTAAATGTTTATACGTAAAATTCCACTTACTTATTGGGCCGATATTTTTTCATATATTTATACGACTAGAATGAAAAATGTTTACGGCAAATCATTCTTAACTAATTATGATTAAAAAAATATATAGTTTGCATTAAAAATTAAAAATATTTATTATTTAAATAAAATAATATTTTTAGGAATGTAACCAGAAAATCTATATGTTTATATTTAAGAAAACCTCAAAGCATGATTACATTATGCTTCTTCATCAGGTTACAGAGACCATGCGAAAATCATAAAAACATTATTCTAAAAATATTGTTGAGTAACTAATAAAAAGACTTCTAAACATTTTTTATTTTTACGGAAATTTTAAGTGTTGTTAACAGTTAATTTTAAATGCATTTTTCCTCACAAGAGATGTAGTTGAGAATCAAATGTGAACAGTTATTTTAGTAAAAATTTAAACCGCAAATCGTAATTTTTATCAGACACTGACGCTTTTCCTTAAACCTATCGATCTTCGTTAAGTTTAAATATCACAAAATTAATAAATATTTAGATTAAATAAGAAGATATGTAATTTTAATCACTTCTAAATTTGGCGTTAACTTATTAATTACGTGATAATTATATAATTGTATATATTTATGCATTCACTATATTTATAGTAATATTCTAGTGTAATGTTGTAATGAAATAATCAATGTAACAGTAAATTACTTATTAAAATAAAGATAAATTTGTTAACCATAAAAAAGATATTTGTGGTTTATAAAGGGAAAAAAAAGTTTTTGAGGTTTTGAAATTAGGAATCCTTAAATTACGCTTTCTATTTTACATCTAGAAGTGACACCTTTGACTATTTTAATTTTTTTTAAATATCGGAACTGCTTAAATTATCAAGCAGGGCACATGAAGCACAAATTCAGTGACCCCTTCGTAAGTCGTGATTAGTCAGTCTAGTTTGTCTTATTGTCTTTCTTCGCCTTAGCTGGCCGTGCCCTGTCCCAATGGAGTATATATATTATTTATAAGTATAAAAATAAAAGTTGTAAATATTAATCTTTAAAATAAATCTTATTAAATTAAATGTATTTTAATTAATGTTTGATTAAAATAAAAAATAAAAAATCACTAAAGATTATATTAAAAAATATACTTTTTGTTAACATTAATCTTGAAGAATAATTTTAAATATCTAAAATTAATTTAAATTTTACTGAAATATATTAAATATTTAAAGACTCTAATTAGTATTTACATACTGGTAACAAATAATGCGGCGGAAGCATGAAACAGCGCCGCACAAATCTAAAACCAATTATGGATTACATTAGAATCTAGAGCAGCAACGCGTGATCAAGCTGGCACCTCTCACTTCACTCATGAGTCATGACCCTCCCCCAAATTTGACTTCACCAATACGCTCTCGCCATTCAGACCTCTTTCCCTACACCTTCCTTTTCAAATTTCCATTTCCCTTCCCTCCCTATATATACCTCATTGTCTCGTTTCTCCTTCACATCCTACTTCATCTCTTCTAAATTCTAATTCCTTATTACATTTCAATTCTTCCCTCTTGGTAAAATTAACGCCAATGGCCTCTCCTCTATACTCGAGCGTTGTTTTGAACCTGATCCTCGTTATTTCTCTGCTCCATTTGAGCTCGGAAGCAAGAAGACTGACGCAAAACGACCAGCAACAGTTGCAGTTCCAATACCACAAAGGCCCTCTTCTCAGCGGTAAAGTCTCCATTAATCTCATCTGGTACGGTAAATTCAACCCTTCCCAGCGAGCCATTATCTCCGACTTCATCACCTCCCTTTCCGCACCCAAACCTTCTGTCACAGCCCAACCATCCGTTGCCACGTGGTGGAAAGCCACAGACAAATACTACAATCTCATTAAGTCACCAAAACCCGCCCCAACTCTCACCCTCACCCTCGGAGCCCAACTTCTGGACGAGAACTACTCTCTAGGAAAATCACTCACCACCGACCACATCGTTAAGTTAGCATCCAAGGCTCCCCAAAACAACGCCATCAATGTGGTTCTCACAGCCGCTGACGTGGCTGTTGATGGGTTCTGTTCTAGTAAGTGCGGGACACACGGTTCTACTTCTTCCGTGGGGCCCAAATTTGCTTACGTGTGGGTGGGTAATTCAGAGACACAGTGCCCGGGTCAATGCGCGTGGCCCTTCCATCAGCCCATTTATGGCCCACAAAACCCACCCTTGGTTGCGCCCAACAACGATGTGGGCCTCGACGGCATGGTCATCAACTTGGCCAGTCTGTTGGCTGGGACCGTTACCAACCCTTTTGGGAACGGCTACTTCCAAGGACCGAAAGAGGCACCACTGGAAGCTGGTTCGGCTTGCACTGGACTCTACGGAAAGGGCGCTTACCCGGGCTATGCTGGGGAACTCTCTGTGGACCCAACAAGTGGTGCTAGCTACAATGCCAATGGCGTCAATGGTAGGAAATATTTGTTGCCAGCACTCTTTGACCCAACCACTGCCACTTGTTCTACTCTAGTATAAAACTATGTAACACAACAACGCGCCTCCTCCTTAGATTATTACGTCATTGCTCTAATTAGGTGCTAGGCAATGACCAAAGAGATTCTTTTATTTGTTTATTAATTTATTCGTCAATAAAATTATGAAATTCAATGTACCAACGAAAAATATACTCCAATTCAAGTTGAGTTCATGCCTAAATGCTATTTCGTGTCTTCAACTACACACCGCTGCATAACTGCATTACATAAGTTCCCAGTGAGGTAAACTACTAAAGAGTAAATGTGAGAAACGTATGCGTCGATATTTACATACACTAACGAATCTCCATATGCTGACGTAAATTACTAATACGTGATTGAACAGGGTATTTTATTTTTTCAAAAACACGCAAGTTAAATAATCAAACACAATTAATTACTGTCTTCCAATATAACATTTTTTTATCTTAAAATAATTTTAGTATTTAGTGTATTTTGGTTTATATACATAACTTTATACTTTCATGTAAACATTTTATAAAAAGTGAGAGAGATTGATTTATAAAGGTGTAAAGTTGTAAATTCTTTTTTGAATTTCGTCCCTTATAGATTTTTGTACATGCTTAGTTTCTTGGATATTTTATTGTAGATTTATATTTCCTAAAGGTTTCCGTGCAAATTTCATTTTTACATCACAAAATTCAAGAAATCCACAAAATTGCAGTACAACATCACAAAAGAGAAGTTCATAAATTTTTTTAGAAATTTATATATTTTAGCATTATTCTTTTATGAGCAAAATTTTTTTAACATGATAAATACCTAAAAAAATTGTTAAGTGAGAAAAATAAAGAGTATGGGAATGAAAGCATCAATGCACTTAAGGAAGAATTTTTTTCCTCGAATGGAAGGAAGTTATTGTATGGGAATGAACTTGGGCTTTGAGCAACTAGAACGACACTATTGACAAAAAAAAAAGACACTTTAGTGGCCTAAGGGAGGCGAAGAGTGGGAAGCTTGGGTGCCCAAAGGACGTCTTAGATCATGAAGGTGGACATTACCTAGTGACTAAGAAAGAAAGGAAAATCTGCCCTTGGAGACCATTTGTTAAGTATAACAACTTGCGCTAAAATGAGTTTCCTTATTCTTTAAGCAAAACTTTTCTACCCACCATCAATACCTCTTTCAGCTTAAATCTTGAAGTGTTAACTCTATGGCAGACAATTAATACATAATATGTTCTAATATGAATGAAAAGGGTGTATGTACAAACATAAATTCTATTTTATAAGAAAAATTTTAAGAAATTTGTTTCAAATGCTTAACAATCAATCAATACAGAATGACCTTGGAGTAAAAGATAAAAGTTGAAGAGGGGGTGTTAAAAGGTTAGCTTGAGCAAATCATTTGTATTTTTACATTATGATTTCTGGTATGTCCCCATCTAATCCCTCATCTCAATCAACACAACCAACCACCGTACATTTAAAATAGTAATACACATGGCAGAACCATCTCTACTTCTTCCGCTATCCACTTTAATTTCATACTGTACAATTAATATCCAAAAACTGAGACCACATTGACTTTGGGCGACAATTCGCCAGCGCATGAATTACTACCTGACATGCTTGGTTCAGATCATATGCATGATTACATTCATCAACAAATTATCGTTCAGCAATAACCACTTGAATCAGGAAGCAGGAAGATTTCATCCGTAAATCTTATGTCCACAATGCAACCTTTATCTTCGGTTTTACGTTTTGTCCCACCTTTCCATTCCCATTAACACAACGCTACCATGTAGCAACGAGTAACCACCACCACGTTGTGTTGCTCTCATCGTGCAACTACTATTTTTCACTTCTGCCTTTGGTTATCTATCTGCTGTGTGATTAGCCATTAACTGGTTCTCATCCCTTACAAATTAATTAGCCATTTAATAGGGTGAGACTTTTATCAATTCATTATTCCACTCACCTTAATAACTTACTATAAGCGAGTTGAGATGGTAAACAATATCGATTTCTTAATCACTAGAAAGCAACTTCTGTTGCACAATTCAACTGCGACAGTCGAAGGACATTTCATAATTTAACTATTAAATTTTTTTACTCATATATACCCACAAAACGTAATTGGCATTTCATATATTAACATTTATCATAACCATGCATGCTTTTTAATGTATGAGTTGACTTTAAATAAATTATATAAGATCATGTGTTAATTATGAAAAATGTGATCTATTATATTCAAAATATTATAAATGTGGAATGAAACAGATCAAATTTTAATGTTTTGATGAAGGTCGACGGATTCAAGATTTTATCCTTAAAGTCTGTGATATTAGAATAGGTTTCGGATTTTGTTTCGTGGACTAAGGTAGCATTTTAGTAAATTGATATTCAACGATTAAAAATTTATTTTAAAGTATAAAGATAATTGAAATGAATTCTAATGAATATATTTAAAAGAAACAGTTGTTTTGAAAGGAAAGGAGCATGGACTCTATTGATAACTAGGTCAAGTATTATTTCTAAAGGTATGGAGGGAGCATGGGTACGTAGGGCTGAGAAAAACCCATTCCTACAGGGCTGCATGGATATACCCAATTGCCAAATCCAAAAACAGTAATTGGAAATTTGTATTCGCATGAGCAATTTGGCTGAAGGAAGGCCATTTTCGCAGGCATTTATATCTTCGGCTGTTGGTTTGGATTACATTAATTTGGCTTATTATTATGGGCGCACCAAAATACCAACCAGACGCGGTAAAACAAATGTATGTGTTATTTTATTGTTCTTATGTAAAATAATGAAATATAGATGCTTTGAATACGACTCGTAAATTGTGAAAATTTTATAAGGTGTTATTCCCGTAATATATAATCGAGCGAAGCAGATAAAAAAGACACGATGTTTAAGAAAATCACGTTATAAATAGCCATTCTATTCATCGCCAAAAAGTGGCCTTTTCATGAAGTTGAACTCCTAACAAATTGCGATTAAAGTTATTTAGTGCTGATTTATTATTCCGCGTTGCCAGTTTCAAGTGGGCCAATTTTTTTGTCACCAAATTTAATTTATTTTGCCTGTTTTCTGTTTAATTGATGTAAAAGTACTTTCTGAAGCCGATTAGTTGGGTAACTCACGCGGTCCAGATAATATTTTTACGAACACAATATTCCACACCTAACTTTTTTTCCTGAATTTCTTTTAGATAAACCAGTATATATTGACGATATTTTTATTTAAAAAAATTACCATTACATCAAATACATAAAAATATTATAAATGGTTTTTTTATACAAACCTTTCTTTTTTAATTAATTAAAATTGATTTTAAATATTAATGATAATTAAAATAAATATTGCAATTTATTTATTTTAATTGGTCTCGAATAGACTGAAGTTTAACGATTCAATTCAATCATTGATTGTTTTTCTCTTATATTATACGTGTGAATTATATTAGTCTCCTAATATATTTTTATAATAATAATAATAATTTTTTATCATTCCTTTTATTAAAATATGCATTTGATTACTGCTCTTTTTTCTGTTTATCTTTCTTAATAATTTATTTAAATAATAATAAATTGTATATAAAATTCACATTTCTCATACACTTTTTCATAAAACTACACATCTTACGGCACACAATTCCAATCATGCATACACACTAACTATTGACCAAAAAAAATTCAATGCCCATACGCGTGAAGGTAGACTTGAGTTGTCAGTGCTTATTGACACGACTTCGTCTGTGTAAATACTGCAACCAACGATTCTAGCTAGATTATTAACGAGCCAAATAATATAACACGGTATTGAGAGTTTATTCATGTTTTAAATTTGAATTATTTATAAATTTTTAATTTTATAAATTTTGCGTATGGGATGTCTATAGATACGAAGATATTTTACAATTTTTAGAAATATTTTTAAAATAATATTTTCTTAAACTAATTTTTTAGAGTAAAAAAAAAACTCAGTTTATTTTTAATATTTATCATAATTTATTTTCTTAATTAATTGATTGTAATTAATATAAATAGCGATGAGTGTCAGAAATTCTATAAACATTCAACATTATAATACATCTTAATAAATATCAAATGAATGGAATTCTATTTATTTTTTAAAACATGGAATTTTTTATACGATAAAGTTAGTAAATTTTGTATTGTTAGACAAAAATAAACATAAGTTTAATTTGAAGCCATTTAACTTTTTGATCATTTATTCGTCTGTCTCGAGCTTTTTAAGCAATGGATATCTCTCTCTCTATCTACAGTGGATAAGATTCCGTGGTGGTAGGTTCCCTCCTTTCAATCCTCAAACTTACGTGGCTCCTACAACTTAATATCAAACCATCTCCAAGCCATAACACACACTCACTCCATCTCCATGATATAATATATAACACAATAACGTTCTCAATTCTCACTCCAAACCCTAACTATAGCAAATAAACACTAACAAGTATAATGGGTCTTGGACAGCGTTTGGGTTTCAGTTTGGCACTTGTTGTGGCCTCTTTTGTACTCGTTCAATCTCAAATCCCAAACACCTGGGAAGCCACGACGTTCCAAAACATGCTGGCTTTGGTTCAGGAGGAACCGGTTATTCTCAAGTACCACAAGGGTCCACTCCTTAAGGGTAACGTAACAGTTCACATACTCTGGTACGGTAACTTCACCACCACCCAACGCTCCATCATTCTTCACTTCATCAAATCCCTCAGCTCCGTTCCCCACTCTCGCCGCACGCGCCGTCCATCTCCCTCCGTATTTTCGTGGTGGCGAACCACCGCCAGGTACAGAGGAGGTCCATGCACCCTCACCGTAGGGAATCAGATCCTCGACCGCACGTACTCCCTCGGCAAATCGCTCAAAACCACACACCTCCTCGCTCTCGCTGTGAGAAAACCAACAACCCGCGGTAACGAAATCCACGTGGTGCTCACGTCCGATGACGTGGCAGTGGACGGTTTTTGCATGAGTCGGTGTGGGACCCACGGATCGGGTCAGGTTCAAAAGAGGAGGGTCGCGTTCGCTTGGGTTGGGAACCCGGCGACGCAGTGTCCGGGAGAGTGCGCGTGGCCGTTCCACCAACCGGTGTACGGGCCTCAGTCCCCGCCGTTGGTTCCGCCGAACGGCGACGTGGGAGTGGACGGAATGGTGATAAGTTTAGCGACTGTTCTGGCTGGAGTGGCGACGAACCCGTTCGGAAATGGGTATTACCAAGGGTCGGCGCGTGCTCCTCTGGAGGCAGTTTCGGCGTGTTCTGGGATATTTGGAAAAGGAGCGTATCCTGGTTACACGGGAAACGTTTTGGTGAATAAAAGCACGGGAGGTAGCTATAACGCGGTGGGGGTGCGTCGACGGGAGTTTCTGTTGCCGGCTATGTGGGACCCAGTGACTTCTACCTGCAAGACGCTCGTTTGAATTGTGTCATTGTTGTTCTTAAACCGAAATTGGGTGCATGCATGCGTGAGTTAGACAAAGGGATGGTCTTTTTTAGAAGGACATGGATAATTTGCAATTCATTTTAGTAGGGTAAAGGATAGTCTTGTTAAAAACATATTTATACTAAAATAATCGTTTTTATCATTATTAGTTATAATATTTGTTAGTGTTGTCATTTTATTTTTTTCGTATCTTATTACTCAAGTAATAGGAGAGAATTTTGATTTTTTACACATTCCGTATGCTTAAAGGACTTCTTCTTTTCAATTTCCATGGCAAAATTAATGTTTTGTTTTATTCATGTAATGTAAGGTAGCTTTTCTATGTTATGAAAATGATAGAATATACTTTATTTTTTAATAAATATTATTTTATTTAATTTTACTCCCTTAGAAGTATTTTTATTGAATTTTTTCCTTACTGTAGTTCGTTTGTTTTTGGTGCGGTTCCATGCCCTTTTTTTTTTTTTTTAAATAGCTATTTACCATGTATCTAAAGCCTCTTTCAAAGCCTCAATCAAGCAAAAAATAAGTGTATTGATGAATTCTTCCATTTTGGGCCTCATATGACTGTTGTATATTGTTTGTCGAAGCAATAACCCCAAAAAGCCCAGTGAAAACCTTACACGGGCTCTAGTGGAAATGAAACATAAAGAAGGAGTGTGGAGTAAACAATTTTGTAAGGCCCATTGAATATGTCTCGAAGCTGGTGCTAGGAATAGAATACTAGAACTACAAGGAAGAGTCTACAAGCACTCAACGTGTATTCTAGCAGTATAATATATTCATTAACATCAAGTAAATTCAAATATATATATTCACATGTCGGTGTCAAATAATCGAGCCTATTGGAATACTTCAAATAAAGTGTGGCTAGTAAAAACCATGGCATTCAATTTTGACTTGTTTATTCAAACAAGCAAGATTTAAAGCTTAGATTTGGCCTCGTTAAAAAGCGCAGAGGTTCAGTTTAGTTGAAACTATTTGTTTTTTAAATTAATCATTTGATTTTTTTTATTCATATAGTATTTGTTAGATATTTTCAAACTAAAATAACTTGATAAAAATAAGAAGAGTAAAGAGAATAAAAATTATGCAAGAATAATTAAAAAAAAATTAAATGTATCTGCTTTATTTTCAAAACTATCATTTTTTACTTTTACGCAGACAACACAAGCTTTTTTTTTTTTTTAGTGTGTAAAATTTTGATTTAAGTCGTTTATGTTGCGGGTTTAATTAAATTAATTAAGAGTTTTCTTAACTTTAACTTTTAAAACTGAAGATAAATAGTTAATAATAATAAAATTTTAATAAAAATAAAGTATTTATTATATTTTTATAATTTTAATATAATAACTATATATTTTTTTCATAAATTTTTTTATTTGTAGATATTTAAATTCAGTCTTAAAGATTGAGATTAACAAAAATTATTAATTAATTATTTAGCTTATCAAATTTAAATAACTTATGAATAATTCGATTGATTTACATTTTTATTTGCAAGAATTTCACTAGCCAGAAAAAGAAATTGGTTGATGTGGGTGGAATTCTTATAGACACTGACGATTGTGTTGGAACTACAGTTTTTTTTTTTTTTTTTTCCGGTCAACTGTTGTGTAAAAAAATGTGGACCAAAAACTTGAGGAGTGTAATAATCATTACATTAATTCCCATTTTCTTTTTGGGGTCTTGAGAAATTTTCAGTCAACTTTTCATTCTAGACATTGAAGCCTTACTAAGTGGTGTACTTCAAATTTAAACATAAATTGCCATTTTTCACGGCTTAACGTGTTCTAGAACCCTATTTAAAATTATACTCCTCCGATTTCAAATTTATAAAAAAATTAAATTATACTTATTAGGAAAAATACTTAATCTATTTAATTTTATAAAAAAATATATTATTTAACGTGCTTTTGAAATAACTTTAGCATTTTTATCAGCATTAAATGTCATAGTTTAAGTTTCTATGTTAAATGTTAAAGTCAAACTTTGAAAATTGAGAAGTTATTTAACATCTTGATGGAAGAGAGCTAAAGTTTGGTCACTAGATTTAAGAAAATTTATCTTTTCATTTCAAAAGTTTTACGAAATTATTGACTCATATATTAAAAATAAAAGATATTAAAAAAATAAATAAGAACAATTTAGTTAAACAGTACAAAACTAGTTAATATTTGCTTTTATTTTAAATCACCATATTTTAGTTTAAATTTTCTTATATTTAAAACAAAATGTGGTACTTTATAATAAAAACTCTTTAAACATTTCAAACAGCTCAATTAAAAATTTATTTATTAGATAAATGTTTATATGATAAAATTTGTTAGAATTAACTATTTTTTATACAAATTTATCAAGAAACTTATTTTACCAATTTATGTTTATCCATGCCACCAAACTTATAAAATTAGTTAAAAAAGTTTAATAAGAGCCACATATTTGTTTTTAAAAGTCTAAAACAAATTATACAAAAACTCTTTCAAATACTACACATCCAAATTAATTTGTCATCACTCCTAAATTCAGTGTCAAACCAATTAAGTGGCCAAGGCATTTTATTTTTTGCCATTTTGATGATATATGGTAACGAGAAGTATAAAATATAGAAAAAAGGTGTCTTTGCATAACATTTATTATTCGGAAATTGGTCCTGGTAAAGTGATTTTGATCCATCTTCTTAGCATGTGCAGTTATTGATCTTTTGTTTATTATAAATATTCGAAGATATGAAACTATAACTTGTTTTGTAGTTTATTTTCTGATTAATTTGTTTTTTGGTAAAAAAAGAAGAAGGAAAGATTACGTTGTATTACTTTTTTAGAAATTTTATTGTCTAAATACATTTATGTTATAAAGAACTTTGCAAAACATTTAGAAGTATAGTTATAATACATTAATTAATTAATTAATTATATCATAGAACTCATTAAACAAAAGTAGCGTAAAAAATGTTTATAGCTAAAGTTTAGTGAAACACTTAAAATAGAGTCTCTGGATTGATTTTACTGCAATGAATATCGTACACCTGTAATCTAACTTACACGGAATAGTGAACCCACACAGAGTCACATCGAAATTTGTAGGTTTGAAATTCACAGAGTCCTATAGTCAACACCAATGAGTCCAGTCTTCACCACTAGCCCGTCCCATTTTCACATGCCCACAGGTGTAGCCTTTCTTAGCTACACACAACATTAGCTTATTGATAGAGTTTCACTCACACAACCCCACTTCCCCTCAAAGCTCAAATTACCGACTCGTGTCGGTGCTTTCCTTTCCCAAAATCCACCTCGTCACTCGTAAGTTGTGTTCCCCCACACCTTTATTGCACAAATTCTTCATGAATAATATTTTGGTTATTTATATTTTTATATGATGACGACGGCATAAATATCTGCCATCTTTTTCTTGCAAATTTGACCTTTTAATGACTAATTAATGTTTATATATTCTTAGTGTTATAAAAATGTTTTTGGCGGAGACAAAATTGACAGTTTTGAGTATTGCAGTAAAAGATTGATATTTTATCCTTGTTTCTTGTCCAGCTACACACACAAATACAAGTCTTTTTGGGGTTCAGAGAGCGTATCGGCTTTGCAAGTTGATCCAGTAAGTACTTGGGGCTTTTTCAGTCTCTAATCTAAACGTACCTTTGCTATGCTACTGTGTCTTTACTCTTGTTGTTGTTGTTGTTGCAGGTGGTGGTTGCATTGAAGCTGAGGGTAGGTGAGAAGATGTGTCTTCTTTTGTAGCTTTCTTTTTCTTCCTCTTATCTCTTTTTCCCGGCGCATGTGCCGGATTACTCGCTCAATGCTTCCATAATTCACCTCTTCAAACCAACACTCTCTCTTCACCAAAGATTTTCTCTGGTAACCTTAAATCTCATATCTTTTTGTTGCATGTGATCTCGGTATTTTTTTTCTTTCTCTCTCTCTCTCTCCCTCTTAATACCCTTTTGTTTAATAATTGAGGAAAACGAGTACCCTTCACCCACTTTCCTAACCAACATTAAAAAAAAAGGAATTTTCGATCTGTAATTCATTTTTTTTACTCAAGATTTGGCATCTTGAAACTAAAATTATTTTCTTTAGTTTTTTTATTTCCTCGAAAATTCTTGGAGTGATGTCTCTGACGCTCTGTCAATGGCTTGGGCTATATGTGAATGTTAGCATTTTCCCAAGCTCGCGATAACTCTGTGTTTGGAAAGGCAAAAATGTACGGGGATTTCTATGTTCTGCTGGGAAAAATGTTCTGGCATTTTTTAATTTTTATCAGGAAAAAATGTTCTGGCATTTCTATTCTCCCAACTTCTTCTTGGGGTCTTTGTGTGTGAGATGAACATGTAAAGTTAAGATTTTTCAATAATCTTCAATTGAATTTCGTGATATCAAAATTGAGAATTCCCTGTATCGTCCAGTTTTCAATTTTCTCTAATCCTTTCCAAAAGACTCTTCCTTTACTAGTTATTCGAGAAATGTTTGTAATTGAACTATTCTTTCATATGCTTGAGACAGATATTTTGGTGTGTGTGTGAGTTCTGTTTATATAATATGCTTTTTGGGTTTTTTATGTGAAGAGTTCCGTTTGTTTTGCTGATGCTTTTAATATGCATCTTTACTTGAACCTCAACAAGACACCATAAAAGTTCAAAATTTTATTCTTTTATAGATTGGATGGAAGAAGCATGTGATTTTCGAAGTTGGGATGAACTGATTCCTGATGCCCTAGGGGTAATCTTCACCAATCTCTCTCTCCAGGAGAAAGTGACTGTGATCCCCAGGGTATGTAAATCATGGGCTAATGCAGTAACTGGACCTTACTGCTGGCAAGAGATAGACATTAAGGATTGGAGCAACCGTTGCCAACCAGAGCAACTTGACCGGATGCTTGAGATGCTTATCACAAGAAGTTGTGGATCCCTCCGCAAGCTGTGTGTTTCTGGTGTCCAATCTGAGAGGATTTTCACATTCATTGCTGATAAGTAAGCAGAATTGCAGAGTTTTAGTTAATTAAATGGATTTTACTCAGTTTAGACTTTAGAGGAAATCTTGTGGATAGATACTTTTCTGATTATTATGGTAATTGCTAAAGAGTGACATATTTGACACATTTTTTATATTGTTGTAATGCTGGTAGTTCACATTGAAATTAGATAACTAATCTTCATTTAGTCAAGTTGATGTCCTCATTGTATGTCTCTTGGGCTACAAGAAAATTAAATGAATGAAAATGTTATTAGCTGTATCCTATTCCTATTAGCCATCTATCTTATACTGTATTCTTTTACTCTTTTGCAAGTGCCTCCTCTCTCCAGACTTTGCGGCTGCCTAGGAGCAGTATGAGTGATTCCATTGTGGAACAGATTACTGGGAGGCTTTCTATGATATCTTTCTTGGACGTAAGCTACTGTATTAAAATTGGTGCTTGTGCTCTCGAGATGATTGGCAAGAACTGCAAACTGCTAGAAGGACTGTGCCGGAACATGCACCCGTTAGATACCGCAGGCAAGCCGTTTCAAGATGATGAAGCATATGCAATTGCCTCCACTATGCCAAAGCTCAAGCATCTTGAAATGGCTTATCATCTTATAAGCACATCAGGCGTGCTTGAAATACTTGCAAACTGTCCTAAGCTTGAATTTTTTGATCAGAGGGGGTGTTGGGGTGTTGCGCTCGACAACATGTTTGTAAAGCAGAAATTTCCAAAATTGAAGGTTTTGGGGCCTTTTGTTCGTGACACTTATGAGAGTGATTGCTGGGATGATTACTCAGATGTATCAGATTCTTCTGAATATTTACCCTGGGACTTTGTGGCTGGTGGCATGGGTGAATACTATGTTGATGATAGTGACAGTTATGATGGAATGTGGGATGATGAAGGGAGGCTAGATGAGCTTCAGTTCGGGTTTTATGAAGGGATAGAAGATGCAGGAATGTATTGGCCTCCATCACCATAAGCTGTATTACTTGTGATCCGTGATCCATTGCATGCTTTTCTACTCTCTGTAACTAATGCTTCTACTCTTGTTTTATGTGCTCTATGAATGATGTGTTTTTCCCTGAAAATGAAGAAGTTTGGCTTGCTCTTCCCACCATAACTACATTATTCTGGACCTACCTTAGATTTCTTAAAGTAGGTGAAGGAAAGGTAAGAGCAAATATGGTTTGGTTCACTTTTTAGAGCTCTACTTTATAATTGGAAGGGATTAGGGGTGAAAATTGACATCTGGTTTATGACGATCTTGTACGTTCTTGAAAATATCTGGTTGATGCAATCATAGAATGTGATCGTCCAATTGTATCTCAAAACTTTTATCGTCGTGATAAATTAACTGCTGAAAGTGAAAGCAAACACTAAATGGTGAGTAGACGTGACATTTTAAGTGTTGTCGGGGGAACCCGTGGGTTAGCTTAATATGATCCACGAGAGATTCTTAGGCTCTCAGCAATATCTTAGACCCTAATATATAATACTTAATGAGGGCTATTAATTTCTTAATCTTATATGATGAAGTAAATATACATTTAGTACCAAAAGTAGAGATTATATTATTATTATTTAAGAGCACTTGAAAATTGCTGAGATCCAATACTAGTACGGGACTACGAACACCTTAATTACTCATTACCCAACATTCTTCAAAGAAGACCCGTGAATGATGTGGTCCGGGATTTTCCTGTTTGCACTTCATCAAACTAATAAAGCTGTGGGGAAAGGAGCACTCCATTCCGTAGACTTTCCTCGTCGCTTCTGTATGAGTCAACCTCTCTCTCTCTCTCTCTCTCTCTCTCTCATGTGTAAGAACTGAGAACTAACTGAACTACATTTTTATTTCGTTGCCAACTTTCTCTTTATGGGGTTAGCAAGATAATGAATAAACTTAAAATAGAATGCTAAGTTTGAAAGATTATTAAAGTATATTTTTGTTTGTGTGATTTTTAATGTATTACAACATAGTTTTTAGTAAAAAAAAATTTGCTTCTAACTTCTTAACATGTGTGTTAAGGATACTCATTAAGAGTCAAATAGAATTTAGATTTTTTTTTTCATGTTAAATAACACGATATGATTATGATCATTCTAAAAAGAGGAGGACATAAAAGTTTTATTAAATAAGAATCTAACATAATTGGTTGTAAGATTTACTAATTAAATTTAATAAAAATTATATTTTATCTAATATGATCATATTATGTTATTTAATAAAATGAGAGGATCTAAATCTCTTGACAATAAAACAAATAATTAAAAAGATAATATAAATTTCTTAAAATAGTAGTTTAACTTATCATATATTTTTTATTAATATTGTCAAATAAAGAAGTCTTCATGTAGAGAATTACTGGGTATTTCTTTGTATGAAAGACGGATTTACTGTTTGTTTTAAATGCTCTCCACAGCAAACAGGAGTTTAGTGGAAGGGGGAAAAATATCCTTCATTCAAACCCTCTCGGGTCATGAAAAAGTAAATAAACTAAAATCGTGACCACCAAAATCTAAGCGTAACATGCTGGAAGGTACTTCTTTTGCAGATCAAAGAGTTGCTGTCACTGTTTACTTGGTTGCGCTTTTTTTTCTCTAACTTTCAAAATTCAAATGATAGATGGTTGCATTTGCATTGCAGTGAAAAAAGATGAAACTTGCTGGGTCTGGTGAACTGAACAGTATGTGATGAGTTTCCGTACTTTATTCTCTGGGCCCATAGAATTCATTACACTATTGAATACACACATTCATATGCTTTTTAATTTCTTTTTTGAAAGAAGAAACGCCCTGGGAATAACAAGTTATCTCATAACAATACTTTAAACATACACACTCAGTAGAACGCTAGTGATAACAAAGAATCATCACAGTTTCTCAGAAATCTGCTAGACCAAAATCTAGAGACCTTGCTTAAACGTGTGTGTGTGTGTGTGATAATTGACTGAATTTATCTCAAATCGATGAGCAAAAGTGGTCACTGAGATTTTAGAACTCCAATGTTCTGGTGAACCGTTTCTTACTTAAGTTCTTAAATCTCACGGCAATCAAGTATATAGAAAACACTTCTGTTAACTTCAATTTTTAGGATTAAATTTAAGCAGTTAATAATGATAAATTTTTATCAAAAAATAAGTTTTTATTACAGTTTTATTATAAAAATTATTAAATTAGTCTGAAAACTGGAGTTAAACAATAACCGTGTATAGAAAGAGGAACTATGAATGTCTGTATGATTCATACAAATTGTACAGTATTCTTCCTAGGCTTAACTTAAATGTTACACCATAGCTAGTAGTCACATGATTACATGTGATAATGTTTTTGGATCTTGCGGACTATTATGACTTCAATCTGTCCTTTGAAACTTGTGTCCGACCATTATTTTGGAGACTTTAGATAATGCCATTGAAGTTAGTGTAGCACGTGATTAAGAAGTTCAAAATTTTGTAACTAGTGTTCAATCATCTTCATTTAACACCCACAAGATGTGCTTGGGTACAAAATTAGAGTTGAAAATGTTGGTGATTATAATTTGTCCTTGTTATTTTTTATGTCTAACATCTTTAGTAAATTGGATTTCTGAATTTCCCTGATTGTGAATCAGAAGGGGTGAGGTTTCTGTGTCCTCATTGTCCAAATGCAAAGCCAGGGTTCCAGGACCACCGAAGGCAGAGCCCTCACTTTCACATATCTGGCGCCTGCTTCTTGATCACAGATTAGATCCACAGGAATATACAACTTTGCCTTTGAGTGTGAGGTGCTTCATAATGCTTCATCATGAAATGAGCAGTGGTCCCACTTCCTTATAAGCTCAAATCACTCACATTTACACACCCATCCATATTGTTCTTTTGCCCACTGCCCCTTTATTGCCAATTTTCAATTATCATATATATTCTTCACTTAAAATTACATAATACTCATTTTTCCAAGTTTTAGAATTACAAATTGAATTTCATCTATTTCAAGATGCTTATGGTCAGTAAGTCACTACATGATGAACAAAATTCTCACCAAATAATGGATTCCCTCTCATAATTTTTTTTGTTACAATCTGGCCCTTTACTCTAATTCTCCCTAAAATAAGTGAGGGTGACATGCGAAAGCCAACGATCAAGTTTAGAAAATAGAGAATTCAAAGTTCAAACCATCAAATTACATTCAATTGAATTAAGAGAATAATAAACGTACAAACTTTGTTCCAAAACTCCATTGAAAAAGGTGCTACATATACATTATTCTTGTTAAATCAACCAGTTACCTGTTATTGCATTTGAAACCTGACAGTTATGTTTTCAAAAGTTATTCCATTTGAATATATGCAGAAAGATACATCATTTTGTAAACGTTTAATATAAGAACTTGTGTACAGACATCAAACTTCTTAAATTAATTAAGAGCCAGTTCTCCAGCAGCCTAGTGAGACATACAGTTTACGAATTGGAGATCATGATCGTAAATATTCATATTCAAACTTGGGGAAACTGTATGTAAATATGATTATATAGTACATCTTTTTTTAGTGCATTATGGATTATGATACATTAATGTGAATTTTGATAGATCATCGTTAGTGTGGTTGATATATTATAAATATTACCGAAGGAAAAAAATTATACTAATGAAATTTTCGACATTTAACAAATTATTTCACTAATATTAAAAGGGAACGTTACATAACAACGAAGACGGAGTGCAGATGCAGACACCACATGGACCTTTCATTTTTGGTAAGAAAAAAACCGATGTGTGTTTGCATATGCCTTTTCAGTTAATCTGGGCTTTAGCAATGACATAAAATGCTTCTTCGGGCTGCAGGAGATATACACTACTTCAATTACTCCCTCATTCTCTTTAACCAAAAACCAAGTCCCTCTCTCACTCTCCACCAAAAAAATACTATCTCGTTGAGAGAGGGAAAACAAGTCTCTCGAATACCCTTTTTTTTTGGACCAAAAAAAGCACTTACATTAAATCAATTTTATATGATCTAAATATTAATTACTATTATATCGCTCTATTATATGTTAACATATAAATTATTTTGAATATGAGTACATAATTATTATTAGAAAAAATGGCTGCATGTCATATGCCTAGGAGATAGAGAGAAGGGATTGAAAGATAGTGATAAGTGTGTGATTCAGAGATTGTATTGCTAGAGACTTAATTGATAAAGTGATACAATGATCTATTTAGATACAATGAGACGAAGAGTAACTAACAACGAAAAAAATCATATAACTAATACAATGAATTACTTATAATTAAAATTAATCAATTAGTGAATCTTAAATTTTCGAATCAATCACAACTCTGGATGCAACAAATGTGATACAAAATTAGATTCACCACAATTCATAAATAACTTTTAACATTATTTTAATAAAATAGTTTATAAAGTTACATTTACTTACTTGAAAACACATTTTTTTTAATTGTTAAATAATCAATTCAAGTATTATATACCTAGTTTTTAAATAAAAATTTAAATTTAAATTCTATATATAAAAGAAATCTCAATAAAGCACTTGTCGATTTGATGATATTTACCTTTTATAAACACATCTATAACAAATTTTTTTATTAGTGAAACCCCATTTAAATATTTTAAAATAAAACTATGATAATTGATATTATAATAAATGCTGAACTGTAATCAATTAAATGTGAATTAAAATACTTACTCCGTTTTTTTTATCAGTCACCACTTAAAAAAAATTTCTACTTTAAAGTTTAAAAAATATTTATTATTATTTTATTATACTATTTCCCTTTAAAATAAATTAAAAACAAAATAAAAAACATGACTTGACTTGATTAAATTGTGTACAATATTTAAAGTGGCAGATAAAAACAATAAAAAGTACACATTTATACTTTTAATAAAATTTAATAAAATATAAAAATAATTATTTAAACCATTAATTTAAAATTTATAAAAATATTATTAAATATTTTATAATATTATTTTATTTCAATAAATAATATATTTTTGAAATATAAATTTTAAATAATATACTTATAAATATTTAAATTGCATAAAATTTAATATATATAATAAAAAATAATATAAAATCATTCATCAATTACATTTATCAATTTTACACTCATGTTAAACGTGTGTGTGAGCGTCAGGAACTGTCACGTTGTTCCTCTGACAACTGGGGTCAGACAATAATTGACATGCCCATAATCAGTTCTAAAAGTAAAATAAATTAACTTTTATTTTTTAAATTACTTTAAATTAATATTATATATAATTGTTTTATTATTCTTTATATATATATATATATATATATATCCTTCCTGAATTATAATAAAGAGGACCGTAGCAACAGGATCTTTCACCTAGAAATTTTCTGATGCACAGGATCCATTGAAATGGCAAGTACAGAGCATACTTCTTTCTAATCAGGGACTAGTGAATATTCATTACAAATAAAGCTTTCAGAGAAAGAAATTTAGAAACAACTCATGATAGATATGAAACACACACGTTTTATTTTTGTTCGATCTGTTCAGCCTCTTATATTATAACCCAGAAAGAAACTATCAGTACTTTCTAATACTTTGAGCAAACCCATATGCATTTTTCTTATACTCATGCTGATCATCCTTCCTGAATTATAATAAAGAGGATATTATTATATTTTATATTTATATATTATTTCTTAATTTAAAAAAAATAAGAGTTAAATAATTTTTTAAAATAATATTTTTAAATTTTTTTTATAACTAACAATTAACATTTTTTTCAAAATAAATATTTATATTTTTAGACTATATTAAATATTTAATTTAATAAATAAAAACATAAATAATAAAATGTATTACATAAATTACTAAATTTTAAAATGAGAGAAAAAATTAAAATTAAAAATTAATTTGAAATTTAAAAATTTCTACAAATATTTTTTATGATTAATTGATTTTTAAATAAAAATTAACGATTACTAACATTTTTTTTTTCTCTTTCTGAACATCAAGTACTTTTGAAAAAAATTATCTTTGTACTAAAATTTTGTTTGGATGTCTCTAAAAATAAAAGAGAAAATGTACGAACATGGTTCTTAATGTATATAGGTATATTTTCCAGGGGTAAATGATAGATACCGATCGTTATATTCTCGAAAGTCGAAACATTCCACAAGCAAGACACGAGGCGGGGCAGTCAATTTATAAATTATAAAATTTGTGGGTATTATATGAGTTTTAAAAATTATATTGAAATTAATAAATAACTTATTATAAATAATAATTACATATCATATTAGAAAATAATATAGAAATACAACTTTAACTTTAAAAGTACTATTAAAAATATATAAATCAAACACGTCAGTTTTACTAATATTAAATATCTAAGAGTGTCTTTCTTTATCCTTAAATTTATCATGTGCCGATAAATCAACATCATTTATGCATGAATATATACTTTTTTAATTATAATTCTTATTTTAAATTTCAATAAATGTAGATAAATAGCTTTTTAAAAATCTTTTATAATTATACTCTAACAAAATGCTTAATACATAAATTATATTATATTATGTTATATTTTGTATTTAATTTAAATATTGAATATAAATACACTATATCAGTTTAAAATGTATTTTTGTTTTAATAAACTGTTTTTTAATATTATTGTAATATAATCAATCAAGAATCAAGGTAAATGTGTAAAATTTGGTGCAACACATCGATAAAGATAAGAATTAAAATGCACTAAAGCATAAATCTACTGTGTTTTGTAATAGATTCACAATTAATAAAAAAATTGTCACATCATAAAAATCCAAATCACATGATATTAAAGGTTAAATAATAAGTATATATTTTTTAATAATTTCAAATTAATATTATTTTATAAAATTTTTGCATCACTTGTATTTATACAAATAAATATTTTTATAACATATTTTTACTATTTTAAAATTATATATATATATATATATATTAATTAAAAATTGGTAAATATATCTTTACCTTTAATTTTTTATATATAAATTTAAGATTGTCCATGCTAAAAAAAAATCGACTAATAAAAAGGATAATATTTTTTTATCACCCGTGAGAAAACCTTTAATTGCTCTTTTGTATTTTTGGAATAAATTGTTATAATAAAAAATATATTAAATTTAAATTTATGAAATACTAATAAAATTGGTGTAAAATATTAATCCAAGGACTTATACTATGGGCAGCTACTCTTCCGAGATTCCTAACACCCTTTCCCAACAACCCCGCTTCTTATAAATGCATCTCAAATTCAAGGAAGAAGCGTAGACACAAACATCACTATGGCATTGGCCGTTCCCTCTTCCAACTCTCTCGTTCCCACCAAATCCATACTTCCATTCCATCGTTCCCTTCTTCATTCCCCCGACCAATGCTCCTTTCCCAGGCCCAAGCCCAAGCCCGTCCAAGCGGTTCACGCCGCCGACAACCCTGCTGTCTCGGACAAGCAGGCAAAGTGGGTCCTGGACAGCTGGAAGTCCAAAAAGGCCCTTCAACTCCCCCAATACCCCAACAAAGAGAACCTGGAATCGGTACTGAAGAGCCTCGAAGCCTTCCCTCCCATCGTGTTCGCGGGAGAGGCTAGGAACCTTGAGGAGCGTCTGGGCGAAGCCGCCATGGGAAACGCTTTCCTTCTTCAGGGTGGAGACTGCGCCGAGAGCTTCAAGGAGTTCCACACCAACAACATTCGTGACACCTTCAGAATCCTTCTCCAGATGAGCGTCGTTATGATGTTTGGAGGCCAAATGCCCGTCATTAAGGTCATCTTTATGTTTTATTTTTATGACGTGCGTGACGGTATACAATAATATTTAATTTAACAATAAATTGTTATTTATTATAATATTAAAAATTGAACAGGTTGGACGAATGGCGGGTCAATTCGCGAAACCGCGATCGGAAGCGTTGGAGGAGAAGAACGGGGTGAAGCTGCCGAGTTACAGAGGAGATAACGTGAACGGAGATGCGTTTGAGGAGAAGGCGAGAATTCCAGATCCTCAAAGAATGATTAGAGCGTACAGTCAATCGGCGGCGACACTGAATCTTCTGAGGGCCTTTGCGACGGGTGGGTATGCTGCTATGCAAAGAGTTACTCAATGGAATTTGGACTTCACGCAGCATAGCGAGCAGGGAGACAGGTATCTCCAACTCTGACGTTTTCTTTATCGACCCTTACATCCCATTCTTTTTCTTCTTTCAATCTATTTATTATATTTTTAATATGATAATAAAATTATATCACTCTATGTAATTAGCTCAAAAATTTATGATAGTCAAATTATTTTTAGTATATTTTGAAAATTAAAATAATTAAACTTTATTATTTAAATAAAATGAATTCTATTTTGGAATATTTTATAGATTTAAATATTTCTTTTGTAGAAAATGCATATAAATAAATTATTTCGACATTAGTTTTTTTACAAACCAATTCTAACAACATTTTTAAATAAATATCAGTCTTATTTTTTTAGCTAATAAATGTTAGAAATATACTCTTAAATGCTTTTTTTAATATATTTTATTTATGAACTAAAATTTATGAAAATATAAAAAATTTTACTCTTAAAAGATATAAAAAAATTAAGAATTAACATATTTAAAAATAAGTGTTTCTTATCATAATTAAAAAAACAGTAGTACTTATTTTTTTATAAAAATAGTTAAAAAATATTTTCAATAAAAATATTAACTTTACACAGCTGAATTTAAATAATCATTAATAATAAAAAGTTATTAATCTTTCAATATCTTTAACATGTTGTTTTTCAATAAAAAAAACAATTATTTTCGTGCTTAAATTCAGTTAATTCACCTATTTTAATTTGATGGTTTGCTGAGAAGTTTTCCTTATTCCAAGGGCACTATATGATCTAGCTGCTTGGTCGGCGTGGCAGGTACCTAGAGCTTGCTCACCGAGTTGATGAGGCCCTTGGATTCATGGCTGCTGCTGGCCTCACTGTGGACCATCCTATAATGAGAACAACTGAGTTCTGGACTTCGCATGAATGTCTTTTATTGCCATACGAACAATCACTGACTAGGTTGGATTCAACTTCTGGTCTTTACTATGACTGCTCCGCCCATATGCTTTGGGTTGGGGAACGGACCAGGCAGCTCGATGGCGCCCATGTTGAGTTTCTAAGAGGTGTTGCTAATCCCCTTGGAATTAAGGTCTCGACATTTCATCTATTACTTATTTTTAGTCTCAACTTGCTTGATTTGGTGTATTGAAGTTGGATAGCGTAATAAAATGTCATGATATTGCAGGTAAGTGATAAGATGGATCCAAATGAGCTTGTTAGACTGATCGAGATCTTGAATCCCCACAACAAACCAGGGAGAATAACTGTGATTACCAGGATGGGAGCTGAAAATACGAGAGTAAAGCTTCCACATCTGATCGGGGCAGTACGCAGAGCGGGACAAATTGTAACTTGGGTCAGTGATCCCATGCATGGAAACACCATAAAGGCTCCGTGCGGACTCAAAACTCGCCCCTTCGATGCCATCAGGGTACAATATTTATTACTAATAAACACTCGGGGTGCTTTTAGAAACATAGATATTGCCGTTTTCCTCAGCCTAAAATTATTCACTGCGAAATCATCGAGTGTTTTTAAAACAATAATTAGCACCTGTATCTTTGTAATTGATGAAGTAGACGTATTTTCTGTGGCATTAATGCATGGTTATGCCCTGCCAAATAGTTTTTGAAGGTTTAATGTTTAAGTTGGTCCTGAATGCTGGTCTATCAAACATGTTGTTTAGAAGCTGGATTGGTAATGGTAGCTAGGTCGCCGAAGGTCTGCTTGTAGAGGTGCTCAAGAGAAGAGTTTATTTGATCAACTGACGTAAGAAATGTGATTGTAGAGTTGGGTTGCATTTCTTTATCAGTCAGTAGGTGGGATATCACCTGTTTGATTGTGAATTTTCATTTTGTCTTTTCGGGATAACTCTCATTTTAGGTCAGGCATTGCAAGTTCCTCTTGCTATAGATATCAAACCAAAGGTTTTCATTTATCAATAATTAACCAATTGAACCAACCTTGTCTGGTTTTGTATTTTAAATTCTTAGCAACTTTAGAGAAAGAAAAATCATATGATTGCCAACCTTGATATACCTTTAACTTTTTTTTTTTAACTTAATTGGACAGGCGGAGTTAAGAGCATTTTTCGACGTGCACGAACAAGAAGGAAGCCACGCAGGTGGGGTTCATCTAGAGATGACGGGTCAGAATGTGACTGAGTGCATTGGTGGGTCAAGGACGGTCACGTTTGACGATCTGAGCTCCCGTTACCACACACACTGTGACCCTAGGCTTAATGCTTCACAATCTCTGGAACTTGCTTTCATCATATCTGAACGCCTCAGAAGGAGTAGGATCATCTCCGAGAAGCATCTTTCCTCCATAGCACTGTAAAATGCACGGTCTTGAATACCAACAATGTGGCTTTGCTCTTTTCCCTTTATGTATGGAAGCAACCAAACAGTGTTATTACACATGGACATGGACCATTTAGCTAGTAAGCTTTTTTGTATAATAATTTATTTGTAAGTGTGTATATTGCTAAGTAATGCGACTGTGCCTTGGAATTATGTGGGTGCACATACACCTGACTAGAATCCATGATGGACAGAAAACTCGCCTACTCTCGCTTACTGCTTACTTCTAGGGCATTAATCCTTTTGCCGTACTATTGTCATTTTGTACATGTCAAGCTTTTATTATTAGGAGTATACTTCGGGACAAGTCAATTTTTTAGGGAGATGAAAAGAGTTCCAAGTCTCATCATTGGTAACATTGTACGTGAGGCGACTCAAAAAATACGTATACGTGTGTGTGTGTCTATATATATATATATATATATGAGAAGTAATCCCGGGCAAGAAGCAGCAAACTTTGACGTTTTGTTTGAAAGAAATAATTTTATATGAAGAGCTTACAAAGTAAATATATTTAATAAGGTTATATTAATTTGTTATTGACAACCAAGGCCCAAACCCATCGTGAATTGACAAAATGCAATCGTAAGACTATATTGACAAAAAGTGTATGCTTTTGGAGTGATTAACAAACTGGTGAAAGTTAACTATTATTACGAGGAGAGTTAATCTCATTATATTATGAATATTTTTTATTTAAAAAGAATTATATCCTGTAAAAAGTATTTGTGAAAAAAAACACAACCCTTTATAAAATTGATTATGTATATACTATATGTCGATGACATTGAAAAAATATTTTCTGACAATTATTTGAGATATATATACCTCACATATTATAAATAATGATATAAAAGAAATTAACGTGCAGTCGTCCGATTATTGTTGGTCATGCTTTCCGGGAATTTTTTTTCGTCATTAAAAAATCCTCGAAAAGGCATTGTTAAGATTATGTAATGAATTATTTCAATTTCTTGTTTTATTTTTTTATAGTTTATAGTGGACGCCTATCAAGGATATTTATTGCGAATATCGGAATTGATCTCTCCACTGTTATCTAACACGAGACTTTATAGTTTTCACCTGTAGTTTTTTTTTTTAAAATGGTGTGAGTATAGTAAGATTTATATTTGATAAAAATATTTTGTGTGTAACATTCCATTATTATATAGTTAATATTTCAAAACATATTAATATTTTGGACGAAAGGAACAGAAGAAGGTGAGTCGAGGCGAGGGCAGTAGCGTACGAATAACGAAAACCTCGCCCACGGTAAGGAAGCGCTTTTAAAAAACGCGGTTTAGTGCAGGAATGAAAATTTTAATATGAAATGAAGAGAAATAGAAGTGGTTATTCCTGTTTGTGAAGTATTACATGGAATCTCAGAGTCAGAGAGATCGCAGAACAGAGGCTCTCGGAGATCTTCGAGCGCTTCCCGACGAAATCCTCTGCGCTATTTTGGAACGTCTCACTCCCCGCGATGCTGCTCGCCTCGCTTGCGTTAGCAGGTAATTGCTGTTCCCTTTTTCTATTTCTATCTGAATGTTTTTCTCATTCATTTTCCATAGTCTCTTTTTCGTAATAATGTTGATGGATTGTCAGGCATTGTTTCATTCAATTGCACTTTATGTTTTGCTTCTTGTGTTAGTTAAATTGATTTAGCAACATTTTTTTAGTTATTATAAATCACGAGTACTGTGAGTATAATGGTTCTCGTAGTATTATATATTCTTGTCACTTGTATCATGATTAACGGTTTTCTCTCTTAATTTTGGCAGTGTTATGTACATACTGTGCAATGAAGAACCACTGTGGATGAGTCTTTGCCTAAAAGGAGCTTCTGGTTTGCTTCAATACAAAGACTCTTGGAAGAAAACTGCCCTGCATAAGTATGTCTCTTCCCATGTTTAATTTCTGCTTCTGAAATCGAATTATTATCTTTATTGGTACTTTACTTTAGTAGCTATTTAATTAATGCTAACATATTTGGAATTGGGTATTTTGAATGCAGTGAGAATCTGCCAGACAAATACAAGGAGTACCATCGTGGACCTTTATATTTTGATGGTAAAAGTTGTAACACTATAGGGCTCTTATCTATCTTCTATTTTCTAGGCAAATTTAGGTCATATGCTCTTCGAAAATCATAAGAATTTTCTATAAACCAATATTCACCTTCTTGCAGGGTTCAACTCTTTATTTTTGTACAGGAGATTATACCGCTGTCACACCACATTGGATACATTTTATGCAGATAACGGAAATGTGGAAAGAATAAAAGACATCTCACTGCAGGACTTCTATAATGAGTATGATGCAAAGAAGCCGGTACAAAGATAAAAGAATTTTTAATTGTAAACTATAAATGTCTATCTTTGGGTTCTCTTAGTCTTACTGATAGAAAGATAATATCTTTGAACTCTGTCCTTCCATTGTTTTTAATTTTACAATTTTTAGAAAGAGTAGGAATAATTCCCCCCCCCCCCCAACATCGTATGTATAGTTGTAACTGTATCATGTTTGCTATTAATCTTTGAAGCATTTAGGATGTGGTATTGTTTTTCTTTGCCATTTTTTTTTTCATGTAGAGATGGAAAGCAAGAGATGAAAACAGATTATCTTTTAACTAAAGGTTCTTTGCGGATGACGGGATTCTGGTTGTAGTTCATGCTATGGGTTTTAGATATCTTGGAATCACAATTTTGAATTATCAATTATTAATACTCCTTCCCGTTCTTTTTTATAGGACCCCTTTAAGAACTTTTGATGGTTGTTAATATAAGACCATTTTCAACATTTTAGAAGCATATTTACTTTTTCCCATAGTTTCCTTTCATAAATTATTGAATCTTTCTAACTTCTCAATAATTAATATGATAATAGAGTTCGATTTGGGTAAACTTGGAATGTTGTAATTTTTCAAAAATAGTACATTAACTAATTTTTACAATTTTTTTTTTTTACTTTGTGTGATTTAGTTGAAAGGATCTTGTAATTAGGACTGGAGGAAGTAGTTTTCTTTTATTGAAATGCAATTTTGATGAATTACACATCCCAGGTTATGCTTACTGGATTGGCTGACACATGGCCTGCCAGGGATAAATGGACAATTGACCAATTGTTGCTAAACTATGGAGATGTAGCGTTTAAAATTTCTCAAAGGAGTTCCCGGAAGATCTCCATGAAGTTCAAGGATTATGTCTCATACATTAAAGTTCAGCATGATGAAGATCCCTTATATATTTTTGATGAAAAGGTGCATATGTTGTGATATTCATGTTTCTATAATGTTCTGCTCCTCCTTCCTGCACCATTCCCTTCCCTTATTTTGTGTTTCAAATTTGAGAATTGTTTTACTCAACACATGATGATCATACAGTTTGGTGAAGTTGCACCTAGCTTATTGAAGGATTATAGTGTGCCTCATCTTTTTCAAGAAGATTTCTTCGACATCTTAGATACAGATAAACGACCTTCCTATAGGTGGCTCATAATCGGACCAGAGAGATCTGGTGCTTCTTGGCATGTTGATCCAGCTCTTACCAGTGCATGGAATACTCTTCTTGTTGGCCGTAAAAGGTAAAGAGCTAACCATTTGACATATTAATGTTCTTCATTTTGGTCATGTAGCATAGAGTGTGACTGTTTACACGGTTTTTGAGAAAGCCATATGTGTACTCTGTTTTGAGTTCAATCCTTAAAGATAATAATTTGATTTCTCCAGCTTGGTACATTTCTTTCCTTCTGTTTTTTGGAGTTACAATGGGGGCCAGGAATGAGGAAAGATGGATTAAATGTGAATATTGTAAATTTATGACTCATTAGGGATAGCTGGCATAAGTTTTTTCCTAAGGAAACTAGTAGCCATTAGGCTGCAAGGCCATTGGCTCTGGCTTATGATCACTATTAATTTTAGCTTATATTACCTATCCATGTACAACAACCCATTGGCTGGTCTGTGCAAAGATGTTGCTCAGTTTACAAGTTTCACATTTGGTTTTGTTTTTAAAGCAACCTAAACTATGGTTCAATGCTTTCTGAAATAATGCTGCATGGCAGAATTTTCTCTCTAGGCTTTAAATGACAGTAGGACTGAGATAGTATATGGGAAGTAAGATTGGGAACTTTTAGATTTAGTGTGCTAGTCCTGATATATAAGCTAATGCTTTGCTAGCATTTTGTTAAAAATTTACATAGACCAGGTTGAACAAGAATCCTAAAATAATGACACCTATATCCTTGAGTCTTTATTTGAATGTATGGAGGGGGAGGAAGGGAAGAGTTTGAAGGGGGAAGGGAGGCTTAAACCCCCTTTGTTTAGATGTTTAATATTGAGAAGAGAGGGTGATGAGAATTGAATCATATAAATGACATTATTGCCTTTTATATCTTCTATTTATATTTTTTTATCTTTTTTTAAAAATAAATATTTTTCTCTTTCTAAAAATTAATATTTTTATTTTTTATAATTTTTTAAAAAAATCCTCACTTTAAAAATTAACATTTTTTAAAAAAAAAATAGAATATGGGAAGGAGTGCGATAGAGTGGGAAAGAGAAAAATCCAAGAACAAGGAAACTCAGAAAACTAACGTTTAGAGGATTTAGAAAAATCTCTTTAATCCTTTTCCTCTTAAACATAACCCTTCCTTTCTCCTCCCCTCCTAAACATAACATTCAAACATAGCCTTAAAAAAGTGTACCTTTTTTCAATATTTTGGATCTTGATGGTGGTAGATACTAGATGGATGTTGTGAATAAATCAAAATAACGCTTTTAGGTTTTCATTTTCCTTAACTCCCTCCTCCTATCTCTATCTTTGTGTGTGTGTGTGGGCATGTGTATGTTGGGGAAAGGGGGATGTTGGTAGTTATCCTTCTTAACATTGGAGTCAATTGATTATTAAGTCAACATCATGACAAAACATAAGATAAATATTGATGTTCTAGGCTCATTTGTTTAACTAAAATTGGAGTATTGTTCTTTATTGATTCCATAATAAATAACATGAATTTTATGTAATTTGGTACTTACCTTTTTTTTGTTAGTGCTTGATTATTCTTCGAATAACTTATGCTTAAAGTTAAAAGGTAATGTTTCACATGCAATTGATAGGTGGGCATTATATCCTCCAGGAAAAGTGCCTTTGGGTGTCACAGTGCATGTTAATGAAGAAGATGGTGATGTCAATGTTGACACTCCGTCATCACTGCAGGTACTACGATGCTGCAATTTGAGTAATTTATATATCCTCTTTTTGGTGGTATATAGTTATGAACAATAACCATACTAACTTTATGGTGCCTGTCTGTTGATGTCATTACTATGATTATTATTAATCACATATTGCTTGTTTACAGTGGTGGCTAGATTTTTATCCTCTTCTTGCTGATGAAGACAAGCCAATTGAATGCACACAACTACCTGGAGAAACAATTTATGTTCCAAGTGGATGGTGGCACTGTGTGCTAAATTTGGAAACAACTGTTGCTGTCACGCAGAATTTTGTAAATTCTAGCAACTTTGAATTTGTATGTTTGGATATGGCACCTGGTTATCGTCATAAAGGAGTTTGCCGTGCTGGGTTGCTTGCTCTTGATGAAGATAGTTATGAAAATGTCAAGCAGAACATGTCATGTGATGAAAAAGACTTCGGTTACTCGAATTTTTCCAGGAAAGAGAAAAGAGCCAAAACTCAGAAAGATGTAGATGATCTAAGTTACCAAAGAGCCATGAATGGTGCATCTAGAAGCTACAATTTATGGAAAGATGGATTTTCTTATGATGTAAATTTCTTGTCCTTGTTTTTGGATAAAGACAGAGACCACTACACTTCACTGTGGAGCTCAGGCAATAGCATTGGTCAGCGAGAACTAAGAGAATGGTTATCCAAACTCTGGATTCAAAAACCAAAAATGAGAGAGCTGATATGGAAGGTTATTTTCTTTCTACAATTATACTTTCTTTGAGCTCTACTTTATCAGATTTTATGATCTTTTTGTTTTGTCTAGGGAGCATGTATTGCACTAAATGCTGACAAGTGGTTACAATGCCTATCATATATTTGTGCTTTCCACAAGTTGCCCCCTCCCACTGATGATGAAAGGCTTCCAGTTGGTACGGGTAGCAATCCTGTGAGTTTTTATTTATTTAATTAATAATTCTGACTTATTTGAATTTTCCAGAAGGTTGCAATACATTAATTTTTCTCAGACTTCAGTGAAAATATTTGGTCTTGTAGTGTCATAATAATACATCTCTTTCTAACTCTGGGAATATTTTCCGTTCTCTATCTAGGTATATTTAGTCGGAAACTCTGTTCTTAAGATTTTTGTTGAAGGAGGATTGGAAGCTTCACTTTATGGTTTAGGCACAGAGGTAATTTTTTGGAATTCTGTTTCCATTGCTTCTGCTGTAGAAATTTAACTTTAGTACTGTCATCTTTATTTCATCTGTTACCACCAAAAAATAAAATAAAATTCTAATATACATTTTACAGCTAGAGTTTTACAGTATGTTGCACGAGGTCAATTCCCCTCTCAGGAAACATATTCCTAATGTTTTGGCCACTGGGATTATCTATATTGAAGATGGATCTTATACCATTTTAAGTTGGGATGGGAAAGGAGTCCCTGATGTCATTGTTAAGAGCAATCTGATCAGGAAGAACTGTGATGTTGACGGTTTCTCATTTGGGGTATGGGGCAAGAAAGAATTAGAGTATCGGAATGCTGGAATGTCGGTGGATGAATCTGCTGGCTTAGCTGGTCACTCATGCATATGGCCATATATGATAACAAAACGATGTGAGGGGAATATGTTTGCAGAGTTGTAAGTCATATCCTTGGGATTTATTGATAATTTCATCACCCCTTCACATTCAAATTTCTAATCTCTTAAAGTAACACAGTTCTGTGAATCTTATGGATTTTGTTTTCATTCTCTTGCAGAAGAGACAGATTAACATGGGAAGACATAACAAACTTGGCCTCCTTCTTGGGGGAGCAGCTGTGTCATCTTCATCTTTTGCCATATCCACCTTTAAATATTTCATATTTCTCTGATATTGAACATGAATTAAGCTTGGCTGAGGCTAATGGTTGTATTGCAACTGTTGGTTGTAAATCAAATGCTGCAGCAGAATGGGAAGTCTTCACTAGAACTTTAACAAAGAAGATGAAGGGTCTGTCAAGCCGTTTGACCAAGTGGTACACTTTGTTCTTTTGGTCTTTCTGATTTCCTGTTACAGTTTAGTTTGAATTTGTAGATATGTAAGAAAGGCATGCACAAAGTGAAAAACACCATCTTTTTTATGCATTCAAATGAAAATCTAATGACCTTCTGAGCATTTTGAAGTTCAAAAGTAGTCTATCTATTAAATTTTTCTGGCTTTTCCACAAAAAAACTCACAATTTCAGTAGGTGTGTTTATCAATTATTTATACTCTTTCAATTTCAGAATTTTCAGTGGGCGTGTTTAACATTAACATGCTAGTTGCTAACTTGCTATGATGAATCTGTGTCAGTCACTTTTATTTGTAAGGCTGCCTCTTATGTATGTTCCTAAAATTTTGTAGGGGGGATCCAATTCCTAAGAAACTGATAGATAAAATTGATGAATATATCCCACCTGATTTTGCTCAGCTGCTAAATATGGATGAGGTTTCTTCTGAACTCAAAATCACATTCTGACATCAACCTTTTTTTATGGATATGGTAAAGTAGATTTGTTTCTATAATCTCTGCAACTTTTATTTGATTTCAGAATTCGGGAACTGGTGCTTGTAAACCTTGCTCCTGGATACACAAGGATATTATGGATGACAACATTTACATGGAACCATCATCGGTTTGCTTGACCTCTAGTAGGAATACTGAAGATACTGCCCAGGTGGACAGTGGTTTGTTGCACAACTATGATGAAGTGAAATTGTGGCGTCCTAGTCATATTCTTGATTTCAGTGATGTTTCGATTGGTCAGTACTGCTCCTTTCCCACTCCCAAGAATTTTCGCTCAACTTCTGCAAAAAAACTCATTTTTGAGAGTTGACTTATATTGGAATGTTGTCAACATATGGCATCATAATTTATCATGTGCTTTGAGAGACTTGTTAACCCTAAGTATTATTTTTTCCCTGTGGTTATGGCTTCCTTTTTTGCTGCACTATTTTTATAGTTTTCAGGCTAATGAATGCTGATCAGCTAGAACTAATCATCATAATTTCTGTTCCGTCCTTAAGAATTCTTGTTCCAAGTGATTGTTGGCTTTGAGATGCATGTTCTTGGCATATTTAGGAATAACTAATCAATAGTTTGTTAAGTAACACAGTTATTCATTAACCAACCTTTGAACATTAACCAAATGATTGATTGATGGTTCTTAAACCAGAAATACTTTTACCAATAATTCATATTTTACAAATTTCCCAAAACATGTTATGGTGTTTTCATACGTTTGTTTCATTCTTTTGTAACCTTTGAGTTGATTGAACTTGTCAGCCTTTTTTAGCAATTCTGTCTCCCATACGCTATAGTTCTTATTTTACCTTCATCTGATTTGTCTGTCTAATCCTATTTATAATATTAATATGTATGATTGACTTATCTTTATCCAGAGCACCTCTTTAACAACGCAGAGATATGTTTGAAAATTAACATTGCTGCAAAAGTATTCTGATGTTATTGCTATTTAGTGGTTATTTCGTATGAAATTTTTCATTTATTTTTGCAGGTGATCGTCTTTTTGACTTGATACCAATTTATTTAGATGTGTTTAGAGGAGATTCGTATCTTCTTAAGCATTTTTTAGAAAGTTACAGACTTCCTTTTGCTAGTAACATATCAAAGTACGAGTCAACAGAGGGTGGTCAGAAGTTTGGCCGACTTTCATATGTTGCCATGTAAGTAACTGTTATAATTCTCTTGCATAACTAATTTCTTGTCAACTCAAAGTATTTCAATTTGCGTATGGATTTATCTAGAAATATGAAATCAGTCAGGCTCCCCTGAAAGGTTGCTAGGCCAAAGCTGAGAAGATATACCCAGTACCCAGTCAAGATGAGTTTACAATTAATAATAATTTTGAACCTTGCAGAATGACTTTCAAAATATTTCATAAAAATATTATATTTTTAATTGAAACTCAAACAGTTGTCTAGAGATGCAAATTAATGCATCCTAATACACGTTGATAAATTGGTAATTGTGAATTTTTTATTGCATGTTGATTTGGGTAACCAATGAAGACTTTGCTCTACATGCGTACGATATTATCTCGTTGCCTTGATGCAGAAATCAACCTTTTGGGAGGCCAATATTTACAGACATTTCTTTTGACCAATTATCAAAAGTATAAGATTACGGTCCAATTTTGAAAATAAATTATCATTAAGTATTTATATGTATAAAAAATTAAGTAATGAAATAAATTAAACTCGTTCCATGAGTTTACTGGTGCGATATGATAGTTTTACTGAAATTATTAATAATTGTCCTAAAAGCATTAAGAAACTTTTAATACACTTTATTAATGCTTGCAATTGCGATACTTAAAAAAATTAGTAAATTTTTCTGCCTTTTTAACCTCAAACTTTAGAGATGGTTTTAAGCGTATAAAAACAATATTTTTTTATTAAAAAGATTATATTTTTATATTCTTGATGTAATAAATATTTTTCTTTTTTATTAAATACTTTTTATTTTTGTTTCTTTAATTAATGTTTTAATGTCATTTGCTAGCATTTTCTTATTTTATTTATTTTTATTTAATTTTATCCCATTTTTTTACCCATTCCATTCTACATATCATTAAGTATCCAAACATTGTGCAAGTATTATGTTTACAGTGAGTTAAATATTGCAGTCAGTCGAGACAACCTTTGGTGAAGTAAAGATGTTTAGCTTTGTTCCTGGCTTTCGTATATTTAGCAATTGTTAGAAGTTCCTCATTTGGATTTCTTGGTTTTCTTTTGGAATTGTAGGTGCTATTGTATCTTGCATGATGAGAATGTCTTGGGGGCTATTTTTAGCATTTGGGAAGAACTGAGATCAGCAAAGTCATGGGAAGAAGTTGAGCAGACAGTGTGGGGAGAATTGAACAATTACAGAGGCTTTCCTTGACCATTGGCTGGCATTTAAATTTTTTTGGAGCCTCAATGCACCTCAGAGCTCCAGTGATCCTATGTTTTAACTTATCCAATAGGCAATAGCCGGGAAATATAGATAGAGATGGAGGGACAGTGAGAATGAGGGAGAGAGCAATTTAACACATAAATTGGATGGCCGTTAGATTTTTTAGATTACATTCTGTTAGATAATTTATAATAAAGTTTCCCTCGCTGTGTTGTTGACGTGGTTGTGCAGTTGCATTTTTTTTTCCATTGCTTAAATGAACACTGTTGAATGGCCATTTTTTCCCCTACAAATTCAAGACTACAATATATGAATATATTCTGATAGGTATTTCTTATTTCTCCTATAATCTGTAATTAAATTTACTAGAGATGTGAGCTATAAGAAAGTTAGATTCTGGACAGAGAAACGTGAATGAAACCAACTTCAGAACGGGACGGCAAATTGGACCAAAACAGCTTGGCTCTCAGGCAAGTTGGGACTACTGTTAGGCCATGAACAATGACGTGACAACTGTGAAAGAGGTATGGGAAGCCAGGTAGGTTAGGTGGGGGAACAGAATGGGAAGCAGCAATCCAGTCCTCAGGGAAGAACGAAAGTTAGACCACTCTATTTTTTTCATTGTAAAATTATTTTAAAAAGGTTAGCACGATTTTAAAAATAAAATATAAATGAACAAATTCGATCCAAACCAATGGTTATGATTTACGTACCGTTAGTGAGTAAATTCCAAAATAGTAGAAGGTTCTTAATATAATAGCTAGAATGTACGGATTAATTATAATAAAATGAAAGTTAAACGTGCTTGTTTATAGAAAAGCATAAAGTTTAAGACGATTGAATGCATTCTCCCCACATTAAACTAGCAATTTAAAGTGTATGCCAACAAATCTCGGCTTTTTAATGGAGAATTGCTCCCATTTAAGCTTTAAACAAATAGATATATTCCCTCACGTTTTGCTCATTCTTAAAAGAAAATAATATCACAATCAATAACCTAACTGAGCAAGCAAATTAAAATTTTATTTTGTAATAGTATAAAATTGGTGGAATAAGATTTTCAAAACATACCTTGTATGTTATATACGTGTAAGACAAATCAATATTTATAATATATATATTAATCAATATATCTCTGTACATTGTATTTTGTATTCATAGATGTTATCATTAAAATTATTTTGAGTTTCCAAAAGGTGGAAAAAGAATAAAATAAGCATAATAGTTGACTATTTAATCGGTGGTGTATATTATTTTGAGTGACTAAGAAAAAATCAAGCTGTTAACATTTGATTTAATTAAGTAACTTAAGTACTATCATGGAAGAAACGTAGTGGACATGTTAAGAAGGAATAAATAAATAGTTAAGAAAAACGTGGCTGGACTTTTATATAAGAATTGCAAGATTGATTCAGACTATGACATCGGTAATAAAATGTTGGGATGACAAGAAAAATATCAATCAAACAACTAAAATTGTCAACATTTTGATCGACACTTCAGTTTTCATTGTTAAAAAAACGTTCTTTGAGGTTTTGAAATCAACTTTACAATTTGTGTTTCAAAAATTATTGACCATTACACACTATATACAAAATACAATGTCAACTTTATTTTGCATTAAATTGTGTAGAAATCGTGTAGAAAATCGATTCCAAAATCATATATATTAAATTATTGACCATTAAACACTTTATATGAAATTTTATACTTTTTAAAAAATTTATGTTATCTCAATTTTTTTTCTCCAAAAATCTAAATCCTAGCTTATAAGATTTTTCTATGCCACGACTATCTTAATCTTGTAGGTTAATTATTTCACTTTCACTAATCCTTACGTTTAATTAGAAGGAAATAATATTTTACTGCCCAATTTCTTTGAAATAAGAGAATTTGAGAGGAAAAAGAAAAAATAATGGAACAAAAAAGTTTTCCTTATTCAAAACAAGAGGGAAAATAGTGGAGAAGAAAAGGTTTTGCATTGAGAACTACTAAAATCTTTTTATTTTCATGTAAACAAAAAAGAATAAAAACATTGTTAAAACTCTTTCCTCCTTCGCTTCTTCTTATTAATCAAATAAAAAAAATTAATAATATAATCAACTTTATTATTTTTTATCCAAATAATAGAAGAAAAATAATTAGATCTATTTATCATAAGATTTTTAATTTTCATCTGTTGCTTTTATTTTTGAATATGTCACGTTATTTTTATTTTTATGTATAAATACTTATCTAAGAAACAGTGAGAAGTTTTTTTTCCTTCATAAATATCTAACGGTAAAGAACAGATAAAAATATTTTTATATTTAATAATTAAGTTAAAAATAAAAAAATCAATACCAACAACTCTTAACTTTTTATTTTGTCTTATTTTCATTTCATTTTTTTCATTTTTTCTTTAATATCCAAATAAATTATCATCGTATTATTAATTTATTATTGATCAATAAAAATATTAACAATATTTTTTTAATATACTAAATTTTGATATACATTTCGTTATTAAAAATTATAAATAACATTTATATATTTTATGATTTAAAGAAATAATACAAAATATATTTAAAATAATATATTAAAATGTAGCATCCTAACACATTTCTTTGATCTATGAATTTGCTATGCGTAAAATATTGTTTAGCAATAAATGGACCGCCATGCATGACGATCATGACGTGCGAAAGGACTGTTTCCTTGTCTCATCAGTTGTGACCTTTTCAAACAACAAATTTTTTTAGTGAAATCTGACTGTGTCTCCTCAAATACTTGTTAGAATAATTTCTTCAAATGACAACATGTTTCTAGTTTCTGTCACTTTTATCCTTGAATTTTACTGAAATAACTGTTTTCCTTATGCGCGTGACGTTTTTTTAGGGTGAATTCTGAATTTAGAAAAACCATTTTGTTTGTGTAAGTTGTAAGCAATAATTTGGACGAGAAAACATCCCTTCGTGAGTGTGACATGAATGTAGGAAATGAGAGATAAAATGTATAAAATGAGTAAATAATGGAATGAGTGGTGCGATAAAAAAAATTAATATAACATAATACGATTTGGAAAATTGCTTGCCACCCTTATATGAAGGACGATCTGGCTCTTTTAGAATGTACGTATTAAGAAAAGGCATTGAATGTAATTTGATTAAATCATGCAGAGTGTGGTTTGTTCTTATAATAATTACAAGTAAAATTTAATAGCAGAAATTACAATGGCATAATGTTTGATATCGAAAATGTGTAGCCAACTTTATTAAGCAACGACTTTGGATACGAGACGTATGTAGGAGTGATAAGTGGCTAGTATGACCTACCAACCACTTAGTTGATTCTTAACTAACGAGGACCGACGAAATAAAAAGAAGAGAAGAAAAGTTACAGTGAAAAGCACTTTTAAGGGCCTGAGAAGTGGGTGGTCGAATCCATTCTTGAAAGGGCCCATTACGAGCAAACCCAGCCCATTCCTTTTGGTGATTATAGAATTTTTGAATGTGGGGAGCTTTTTGGTTCAAATTTGAAACCAACGAAAAGGAATAGTATTCCTGGTTATATAAAAAGAATTCAGAATCACAATCACAAATGACAGAGTAAGAGAGAGAGAGGGACGCACCAACCTTTCCGCCACACACAACACAGAGAGTATCAAAACCCCGTGTTTGACAGCTGTCTCTTTTTCTTTATTTTTAATTACAACAACAAGAAATTCCAATTTCCAGATATTAACAATTAAATACCAAATAAAAATCACCCATCCAACGGTCCATATTCAATCCCCAAAACGACCCCACCCACGCTTCCCAAAACGCAATTATCGGACGCATTAGCCTCAAAAGCCACCCTTTCCCTTTCGTCGTCTCCGTCTCTCTCCCTCCCTCCCTCTCTCTCTCTAAATCCCTAACCAGATCTCGCTTTCTCTCTCTAAGATTCCACAATGGCGACCGCTCCCTCGCCTCGCGAAGAGAACGTTTACATGGCGAAGCTTGCCGAGCAAGCCGAGCGCTACGAAGAAATGGTTGAGTTCATGGAGAAGGTCTCCGCCTCCGCCGACAATGAGGAACTGACCGTCGAGGAGAGGAATCTGCTCTCCGTTGCCTACAAGAACGTCATCGGAGCTCGCCGTGCCTCTTGGCGTATCATCTCCTCCATCGAGCAGAAGGAGGAGAGCCGTGGCAACGAGGACCACGTCGCCGTCATCCGCGACTACCGATCCAAGATCGAGTCCGAGCTCTCCAACATCTGCGACGGTATTCTCAAGCTCCTCGATTCTCGCCTCATCCCCTCCGCTTCATCCGGCGATTCCAAGGTCTTCTACCTAAAGATGAAGGGCGATTACCACAGGTACCTCGCCGAGTTCAAGACCGGCGCCGAGCGTAAGGAGGCTGCAGAGAGCACCCTCGCTGCATACAAATCCGCTCAGGTTAATCGTTTTCTCTTTTTTATTCGATCTATCGATGCAGATCTGTTCGTTTTCTTCTCCAGATATGCGTTTCTCACTTTCTATTTTGCAACGCATGTTGTTCTGTTTTTGAAATCTATACGATTAACTTTATTTGTTTTGGATCCTCCACTCTGCGGTTATGTATTCACGTTTCATTTTCTGGTTTGAAAATCTGCGTCTTTTTGTTTTTTATATAATTTGAATCGAAGGATTTTTGTTGTGGCTATTTATTTAGTATTGCAGTGTTTCTCGATTGTTTTGAAGGATGAACGTGTTTCTCTGTTTTGCAGGACATTGCAAATGCCGAACTGCCGCCAACTCACCCAATTAGGCTCGGCCTTGCGCTGAATTTCTCTGTGTTTTACTATGAAATTCTTAATTCTCCTGATCGTGCCTGCAACCTTGCAAAACAGGTTAGGTTTAGGGGACTGAATACTCTGTTCTGTTCTGTGCTGTGTGTATTTGTTTTGCAATCGGAGTTTTGGATGTTTGTGGAGAAAAGGAAGAAGTTGGGCCCTCTACAGGGAAATCTGCAGCTCTTGTTGCCTATTAATTGGAATGACTTTTGCATTTCGTTAATCTTGAAGCAACAATGATGTTACTTGTTGGATTCTAGCAACTAAATATGGAATATGGAATTTGCTTTTTACACTTATTGCCACTTTGCCTGTAGCTGAAGTGAGTTGTCAAACATTTGTTGGCTTTCACAATAAATGTTTGCTAGTCCAATAGTTATTAACAAGTTGAAACTAATCAATATTTGATTACTTAATCAAGGTTCTGGTACCGTTAGGTACCCGACTTGAGTAATCCCCATGGAATATATTCTTCTAGTTTTTGTTGCGAATATGTTCTGTTCTAATGGCATATTATATAATAGTACTAATGAAAAAACTGT